ACTGGAAAAATGTTCGCTGCAGTTTTATTTTCGCCTTTTGCGCCTTTTTGCATTAAGGGCGAATTTATCACAAAAGCCAATTATAGTTCACAGTTAACCCTATATAGTCATTACATGTGAATGGCGAAATGTACACTGGGAGAAAACAGATTTTACAAGTGGAGGGCGAATATTTGACTGGACGAAAGATCCTCAGCATAAAGAACCGTTGTTCAAAATTTTCAAATCTTTACACACAAAAAATGTGAAAATAAATAAATATTCAAAGTTCGAAGTAAAACCTGTCCACTGCCGATCAATAACACTTATAAAGACGTTTTTTCCAGGAATAATATAGGAATAGAATCAAAATGAAAAACGATTACCTTCCAGTTGTTGCTTTATCTTCCATATACAATTGGAATGACTCAAAATGCATACAACATATCTTAAGCGGAAATCTTCTTTGTGAAAGTAAACATGTGCAGTGATATCCTTTACCATAAACAATCATCAAAAATCAATAATTAAGAAAACGTTTTGATGTGATTCACACTTGACCTGCTGACCTTTTACATATTGTATTACGAAAACAGCAGTGAATAACATCCTCAAAGTTACATGAAAACATGTCTTATAATCACGATTAATTCATAAAATTAGCAAAATAACATGTATAAAGTCATGTAATTTCGTCAGCGAAAGGTAGTCGCAAACGAATTAAATTGTTTCACATAAGATTATCAACACATATGTAGGTTCAATTTACAATTTTGTTTTTAATTCTGACTCCTGCTTCTAAACAGGAATACAAATCTAAAAAAAAGAAAAATCGAGAAAGTAAACCAAATAAATGTTGATTGACATATCTTTAAAACACAATGAGAGGAGCAAAATTTGAACTGTGATGACGTGGACATACTCAATATGTTGAATAACGAAAAGTTTTATTCTTAGTTATATATAAAATGTTTCCCCTTATGAAAATTTAAACAGACGATGATAATGTTTTCTTGTGTAACACATGTTACTATAATACTGGGGNTTATTTCTCAACTCAGTTCGACATTGCTCACAATTAGTTTAGCACTACATGCTGGTGTTATTATTTCGAACTCAAATATCTGGAATTTATTACATTTTTTTACCAGAGTATATTGTCAAGTCAGAATATTATTTCTATTTACTTCACTTTTCAAATTCAGATGAAGCGACGAGATATAAAAAGAACGTAGGATATTCATTCATATCTTTTATCACCCAAATATAATGTTGAATTAATGTCAAAACAGTCCTGAAGAAATGTTTTAGTTTTGATCCTTCGGAGGTCTTCATGTAGCACTGAAATGGTGTAACCATGGTGTTTAATGTATAAAAAATACTTTCAAAAATCCTTATAAAACAACATATTAATCTCACCTTATGTCTCCCAAAAAGTGTGCAGGTGTGATATTATGGTTAATTTTATAAAAACTGTGTTTTGAGGCGAAAACTCAGTTTCAGAATCGCCATCTTTTCGTTAGACCACATATCGTTTATCAAAATCACAAATAAACACCAAATGTTTGCAATATTTGTTCGAGCTTTACTATTCGTGTCACCTCGACATAGCAACATCCATTTCTTCAAGGGGTTTTCCAATATTTCACATTCACCGCGGAACACAGCTCAGGTTAACATTTTTTCATGTAATATGATGTAATAAGGCAATGACAATAGCAAATAACTTAGCTGAATGAAAAAGAAAAGTTCGGATAGCATTTAATTTCCATTAGTAACAGAACAGTCGGTTATAACAGGGTACTAATTCCTTCGTAAAACAGTTAGGGTAAGCGATTGTCTAAACATCGTTCTTGATGTCAGTTCATTGGAGGAATTTTACAGGAAAAATAAGACATATTTTAATCCTGTCACAACGAAAACGCAATCACTGTCTCTAGCTGTGTTACTTTCCACACAGGGCTTCGCCATCTTTACAAGAGAAAACGGATAAATTTTGCACGAGTGAAAATACCGGATTTTCCTGCCATACCAGTGAAATATATATGGTATACAACGGGATTTTTATTTTATTTTTTATTTTTTTTTGAGTAAAAACGATAAAAACGTTTCTGTATCAAAAGTATGTAATATTAATGACGTCACGCTAGACAACGAGTCTGTGCGCCATTTTGAATAGCTGTTCAACGCAATCCTACTGTTTCTGCTATTATCTGGTACGTTGTGCTTACAAAAAAAAGTTACCTGTTAGGTAGGCATTTAAATAACCTGGCGTGAGTACCAAATTCATATATAAAACACCATTTAATCTACTGTCGCTTTATCTGCAGTTGAACAAAAAAGCATTGGCTTTGAATGAAGTAAATAGAACTAAAAGTTTTGATTGGTTAATATAACATCCTTTACATGTGAAAATATTATATTTCGTATATCTGTCGTAATAATAGCTCGACAGAGCTAATGTTCCCATTGCAACATATATGATTCTAAATAAAAATTCTTGTATCTTGTATCTTGTATCTTCAGTGCAAATATAAGATTTTGATATAATGACCATTTTTTATATGTCACTGGTAACAATGTAATAAACTGTTTTTCTTTTAATTCAATGTATTTATTGACGAGACAATCATCAGAAGTATACAAAATGATAATGGTTTGCAATGTTGTATTATCGGATCCATACAAGACGAAGCGCCGTATCGCCAGTGTTGTATAAAACAAACGTGTAGGCAAATAATGAACGTAATTTATTTTCTAAAAATAGATAAAAACATCTTTTACATGATGCTTTACCAAATTGTCTTTTCATTTTCCATATGATCAAATCAATACTACAATTTCTAAAACATCGTAGTTGTCGCCCAAAATGATCGTCAGTGCATTAACTTAGTCTATTTAGAGTCCTTTTTCACTTTTTCTAAGACAGGAATGCGTGCCGACTGGTTTGTGGTATTGAGACATGAACAATAAATATACACATTTTCCTTATTGTATTCAAAACCATATTTGCTGTAAAGGTATATTATTTGCTATATGCGTTCGTTTTCATTACTCCCAGAGGGAGAGTTGCTCCAATGTTTCAAAAAATCGTGCATAAATTGAGATCCAAATAAGCAATACAGCCATAATTAATAACAAATTATAACCAGTTGTTTTTTATGAAGCTTAATCATCCAGCTCCAGCCAGTAAATAATTAATGGGAAATCACTTTTGGGAACGATTAACCTGTAACAGAGAAACTGTTGGCATGTGAAAAGGTTCGTTTGATGACCCATTGAACAAAACGCGATGTGAACATTTCCGCGTTGACATTAGTTTTGAAATCATCTATTATCTATAGTATCTGTAAATAAATATGCGCGTGAGGATATGTTCGCGCTTATTTACTTTACGCGAAAAATGCTAAACATTTCCACACTGCGAAAACGTCTACTTTACAGTAAATCAAGAGTTAAATTGTTTCTTCCTCTAATAAAACGAAAGTTAATAAAGATGCACTAGTCATATCTTGTTAATATTTTGTTTTCCGGTATAGCAAAATGGTCATGATGTAACTATAATTTGTCCGTTGTTACATTTATATAGTGCCCTATCTAATTTGTAAAAATACTCTAAAGCGCTTTACAACACATGGATAATAACATTAGTTATAATTATTAAACAAAAAGGCTTACAATCACCAATATACATTAGGCAACAAGATAATCATCTCAATATGCACATAAATGAATAAATGGAGGGTGGTATGTACATGACGTCTGTGCAAAGGGCCTAAAAGGCAGACGTGAAGAGGTGGGTTCTATGTCCTTCTTGAATTTTGCCAGGGTATATTTGACTTTCTAATAGCAGATGGTAAGCTATTCCACAACGTGGCCGAAACCCTGTCAAAGCACCGGTTTCCATAAGTCACAGTACGATATTTTGTGACACACAACAATGATTTTGTCTCCGACCGCAGTGATCGTTACGGCTGATACAGGGTAACCAGCTCCTGTCAATATATGATAGAGGTTTTGAGAAATTAGGACGTCAGTAACACAAATTAGATAATATATATCAAGATATACAGGAATTTTGTAAGGGTTATAACACAGAAAACAAAAACAAAAACAGTAGTAAGATAACAGCTACTTATACATTGACCAAGAATTATACCTTTTATATCTTTCTGAAACATATCGCATTAACATTCTACTACCCTTCTGTAAAATATGAAATAGGGACAAGTGAAAATTTGAATGAGGTCATCAATCGACCTTTCTGATTTCTACAGCGATGGGGGAACAATTAGGTGATAATACATAATTACAACTCATTGTTGATATTACAATCAAACCGGGCAACCGGCGACCAGACAATTAGAGATTATTAAGGAGGTCAATAAATAGAATTATAATACCATGGTAACAACTTCATCGAACGCGAAACTGCACTCCAGATGTTAATGATGTCGGGTTTTGGGTCCATTAAGACGACATGGAATAACTTGAGAATACTCCCACACAAATAAAACACGTGGTCAGATCATTTATCCAAAGTTCATTTAAATTTTAAATTTAGGATTAAAACATGTTGAACTTAAAAAAAATGTATATATTTCACGAATTGGAATCACTTTGTAAATGTTTTATTAGCGACTGAATTTCGTACAACGCAGTCAGCTCTATTTCCGAGACTATCATCGACCGTGCGCAGTGTCATGGTGAGGCTGCTAAGATGAACATACATCTGAAATAGACACTCCGTGTCCATTCATCTGTTAGCTATCAAGTAGTCATGCATGTGTTTCAATCATTCATTAAATTGAAATGAAACAAATCTCAGTCTGTGTAGTTACCACCTAATGCTTCCAATGGAGTTATAGTCTTTATGGCAAGTTTATAGATTTCCCAACAGAATTCACCAAAAAACATTTATTCCCACGCAATAGCGATCTGAGTGTCTTCTAAGCGGTGCTAGTCATGTATAAATACTGGCTGGAGTAATCCGGAATTGCTATCGCCGACATTCCATTTTATAGGGCTAACTTTTGCGTCGCTGCTTTTTCTGTAAAACTAAAGGTAAGTCTTTTTACTATTTAATTTGTAAATTTTGTTTTAGGTGTAATAAGTACCGATTCCATATCTTTTTTCTTGTTTTTTTGTTTGTTTTGTTTATATATCCAGCTAAATGTTGACTAATATTACATATAATACAATGCCTGAGAGATGGCAAAACACACTTTATCTTATTATTAAGAGTTCATTTATTTGGCATTCATTAGTTTCCCAATTATGTTAATGAAAGGTTACATACTCATTTATCATATTGTTCTACATCACGTTTTGAATATCTGTTGAAATTCAGTTTTCTTAGGATTAAATACGTAAGCAATGACAATTTGTATTTCTCAATTTAAAAATGAATATCTAATTCAAATTCGTCCTTTATTCTTTTTGTTAAGGATTATGCATTTTCAAATCTGCATGCTTTGTAATTCTCTATAGACACGAGATATATACTTGAATTGTATGTGCCTTATACGAAACATTACTTAAATACACGTTAAAATCAAAAAGTTTTGATACCAGTGACCGGAACGATATTGCAATTGAAACGTCATAAATGTAACGTAAAATATCACTGTCAGACGGAGCTGTTCTATTTAGGCGATAAATGAATGTTAACTCATCGAATTGTCCCTATTACAAGTGAATGTAACTATGTCTACTCGATTATGATCCTAAAACATGTTAAAGAAACATATAATTTCCTTTAAATCGTATGTACGTTCGCGATTTTTCAAGTGAGTCTTGTTTAAAAATGGCTTTTCTTTTGTCTTTTAAGCCACTCCAATATATTGGATACTTTTTGATAGCGCTTTTTATTCGTTAATACATGTAGTCAAAAGTTATAATTTAACGTCAATAAGTAGGGTGGCATTCTGCTCGGATTGAATTTCGGCTGGTATTTTTACTTTGAGAATATTGAGAAATTGAAAGCACAAGGAAAGATAACCTTCCAGGTTTAAAAAATATGTTAACGATATTCATTTGTTTGCTAGGTGACCGCAGAAAGGCAATATATATATATATAAATATGTGAACTTTCTATAACGTTTTACTAAACTGCAATTGTCAGGGTAATATTGCTTTATGGAAAACAAATAGCTATCTAAAACGTCGTTTTGATGGCTCTTTGATTTTCTTGCGGATAAGGTTACAGAAAGAAATCTAGTTCTTTTACATCTTTTTGCCTGTTTTCTTGTTCATGAGTAGGAGTAGAAGATAAGAGCAAAATATATTCGTCTTGATTATTTTCATTTCATTTGGTTCTTCAAAGTTCTTTTATGCTGTTTCATGCTGGGGATATTGTATACTTTATGTATATTAAGCTATATAGATATATCGATTTGTTCTGTTTGTCGTTGTATGCTCCTCATTGGATATTACATTCAAACCCGATTCAGGAATGTCGGTTACGTGATTTCTTATTGTCTCAATACTGATGTAGCCAAATTGAATCTCTTAAAATGGTGCTTAATCACATGTGGTGTCTCTTAAAATTGGTTGTCTCTCAAAAAGGAGTTAAACTGCAAGAGGGAAAAAATACGCACAAAACATTAGCGACACGCAAGTACAGTAAGAGTTGACAACTTGGGATTGCGGTACACCTTCAAAAATACATTGCATTATGTATAAAGGTAATTTAATGTAAAGACTTTGTGCATCGCTTAGAAATGAAAACTCAAAGCATCTCCAAGGCCAGTATATAAATTTATATATTATATACTATGCCTTTTTGCACTGTAAGTCGATAATTTCCATCATCTTATGAAACAAATATAGAAACAATATCTATTTCTTAGACATTATTTTTGTTCTTCTTAATGTGGATATCAAATGATTAGTTTATTGATAGCAATCATTAATCTGAGGACCAGAGATTGACACAACCCATAAAGAGCTGTTGTAATGTATCAGTGTACATTTCCAATTGATATTTCATCAATTTGCTCATACACGAAGTCAAATAGGGTTTATTCTGACGCGTGGGAACTCATAGAAGGGTATGTGTGAACACCCACAATGATAACACAGAGTCACGTCATTTTCCTTTTTTACTCATTCACCCCTAAAATTGTATAATGAATTATTCAAACCTATGAATTGGAAGAGATCAAATGTGTCATCAGGGGTGAATGAGTTAAACAAAAATTATCAATATTCAACATATTAGCAAATTTCTTTTCGGTTTCGTCCCTCAAGACACCCATCAGACTTTGACAATAGAAATTGTGAAGACGTAAAAACCTGAATGGCATATCTTCATATAAGTATTAAACAGCATTTATGCTCAATTGCATGCTAGTATAAACCGATTTGCATTCATACCTGCATGAACGATGAAAAAGGGCCATTTCATCCTGATATTTACATTCTAAATGTTTAGTTGTTATTGACCTAAATACAAATGTTCCCTCATACTTCCTATATTGAAGTGTTTATGTCGTCAGTGCAAACGAGATTCCTGAAACAGCCTGACTTCTCCAAAATGTTTCATATTAACTTTGCATAACGATGATGTGGTACGTTGTCGTCAGACCCTTTGGAGACCGCTTTGGTAGTCAACGCGTCATTTGACTCATACAATGCAGGATGAATGATTAGCAGTGTTTGGATTGGATCACAAAACAGTTTTTGTAAAATACAAACTTGGATTTTAGATACGAAGCAAAATATAATCAAATCAGTAGGTATGTAGATCTCAAAATTGCGACGGGTTGTTTCGTATGTTTAAATCTCTCATATTACGTCAAAACATCATATCTCTTATCATATCTAAAATATGACATCTATAACGATTATATGATATCTAGCAGCTACATAAATAATAACAACGTCAAATATGTAAACGATATTATAGAGAGAAAAAAAGTAATTTGATAATACACACTAATCATTTTTTTTATTTATTTATATTTACAGTCATTAGTTTATTTAATGCGCCTTCTTCTGTTCATGATGTAGGTACACAGCTATTTTAGTCTTTTTAAAATAACTATATATGCGATATCTCTGAAGTTTATCTTACTTAAAAATATCTCTTGTTCTATTTTAATTACCACAAATTAACTAAAAAACTAATACTGAAATTTGATCTGCATTACAAACATGCCAAAGTTAGCTGAAATGTATGATATCATTGAAGAAACCAGATGCTGAGACTACATGTACTTGTTGGCTGTTCCATTTACTGAAAATATACCACAAATATGAAGAACAAATGTAACTTTTCGCGAAAATCAATATAAAGGATAAATATTAAATTTCAATCTGTACAAAACAATAGTTCAATAATTCTGAACAAAATGGCAGACAAATACTGATAAGACATAAACACACGTTATTCGATTTTTCTGCAATTCTGTGTAGGCATATAGGACCATAATTCTAAACCGAGTGCAGTTTGATGTTTAAATATATATCCCATGTAAAGAGATATATAGTATTTTGGACATTAGCACTCTTTCAATAACTGTTTCATTATACTGCAAATAACAATTTAATTCAAAATATGTTATCTGTACTTTTGTTGTCGTCATATTTATATATACATTCATGTCGATATGTCTATGTGCCTATTAGCCTTCATCCTGCAGGCTTTGGGAAAGAAGACTCCAGTGGCATCAAACTGCATGTTATCGTAACAGACAGCTAAGGTGTGTGTGTGTGTGTGTGTGTGTGTGTGTGTGTTGGGGGGGGGGGGGGGGGACTTTGTCTTCTGCTTAGGTAACATTGCAGAAACCATCATTTATCTGCTGCCTCTTTAGCAACACTTAAGATCTGTATTTGTTTTCTTTTCTCGCATCCTTACTCAATCTTCTTAGTAGTTTCTCAATTTCTTTATACGTAAAGTGAAAGAAAATGCCTGATTTAGGTACGCGTTAACATAATATATTTCAAGGGCGTTATTATACATAAACGATACAAATATATATGTCTCTGGGTATATATTTATGTTCTTATTTAAATTGTTAAAAATAATTTTTACTTTAACACTTTGGTGAAAGCAAGAGGAGACTTGTTATGAATCTTGCTTCATGTTGTTTATTTTTTATATACATTTACTACGATATTAAAGAAATTCAGCTGATTTTATTACGTTCCGTCTTTTTTTGATATCTGTTTTATATTTCTCATAGTAAAAATCATTGACAAAAAAAAATAGAAATTGTAATATATTGTACGTTTTTATATGATATATATGATATAAGTTATTGGTTCTCCTTCAACTCACGAAATAGACTAATTAGGTTAAACTAAATCACTTTCTCTCGAAACATAATTTAACTGTTATTTTATATTTTGACCGGGTGCCAAATGTGCTGCAGAAAATTCTTGCGAAACGCGCGGTTTTGCCTACAGTTCTTTTTGCTTTTTGAGATTTATGATACCTTCTGCTTTGTTTCGTGTCTCCTCAGTTGCTGTTGTTGTCTATTCTTATCGAAATCGGGTCAGTTGTTTTTCCCTTACGTGTTGACACTTTATTACTATTTTGTTTTGTTTTCACTTAAAACCAACATTCCAAATTGATCTTCCTTTGACAAATTTATATCTAATAAATTATAAATGGACTGTATACGTAAAGTGAAAGAAAATGCCTGATTTATATTCAAGGTCAACTCGAGATATGTTCAAAACAAACTTTAACGACGATGTCTATGATTAGATCATATGGGTAAGTATACATTTATAGCTCTTTGTGCTCAGAAGAATGTGTAATAGAACTAATAACGTCGACAGAAAAACAAAATGAATATTTCCTATCATCATTAATTTACCCATATAATGTCCCCGGAGATACATATTCTCGATCTATAGAAAAACTCCAGACGGTTAGCAAGTCACATGCATCGATTACTATTGACGCCTGCTTAGAGTTAACAACCCCGAATATACGACTTAAGCAGACATGTGAGGTCGTTTGATTTAAGCCCCTTTGTAATGTCGTGATGTAACGTTTGCATAGTCATAATCCTGCATCGCAGTTTCCGAGATTTAGGTTTCGATTATGATGATTATTATCACAGCAATTGAGATGCTTTTAATAGAAAAATATAAGTAACACACATACAAGTACATAGACTCAAACTCTATTGAATATGAGTCTCTTATATCCTATGTGTTCATAATCCCTGTCTCGTCGCATTGTGGCTTTTCGCAAAAACAGTAACCTCCTCTTAAATTCATTTGGGATATATCAACTGTAGCACATTTGGCACAAAACACTTTCTTTGACCTGGTAGCTCAGTCGGTTAGTTGATGGTATAACAATATGAAGTATCAGTAAACACCAAAGATGATTTTCTTTTTTCAGCTATATTAGTCTTTCATAAAAGTCCCGAAAGGTATGGTTTTCTTTTCAGGAATCATTTCCGCAATTTAAGTAGGAAATATTTGTGTGTGTGTTGGATGTAGTGATGTCCTATGAGTTCATCCCCGTTATGTTTATCATGTTGAAGTTATCTCCCCTGATCATTTAATTAGTATTACTCTTTATAAATATATATATATATATACTGGCGGACGTCGTTATAGCGAACTATTATATGACGTCATAGTTTATGACGTCAATACTTCAAATAAACAGTCTGAAGAATCTCCTAGAAGAGATGAAAGTACTAAAGACTCGTTGTTAAGAATTTTTCTTTATATAATATATATATATATAAATAATAGTCAAATTGATTAAATAAAAGNATTCTATATATATATATATATATATATATAATTTTTCATTTCAAAGTATCCTTAAATTAATTAATCATTATTGTTGTAACTACATTGTATATATATATTCTATCAAATTTTGAGCCACTCATGGAAAGAATTTATATAGGCTTGCCTGTTATTTAATCAATTTGACTATTACATCTGTCAAAAAAAATGTTGAAATCAAATGAATCATTTCCGTATCTATAATTATGCCTCGAAAATCATTTTCCAATGGGTAGTTAGTTTTGTCAGTTGATAATTGAATATCAAGACATCACTACAAAACGAATTTGTTAGGGGAAAAACAAAATGAATAAAAAAATATTGAATTGTGAACGTCTGAGCTTGTTTCTGTTCAACTTTTATTTTTCGTTCTGGGATATGGTGGTTTTTTTTACCTTTGTAAATAATTGTTTTATACTTCCAGGTTATGAAAAGCTACACGATACGACAGGTTTACATTTCCATTACCGTCCTTATCATTTTCACAAGTGTCCACACAGAGGCTGGGGTCCGCTCATTATGTGAAGGAAGATGCGAATCGTCAACACCACACCTACAAACTCTTAAAGATGTGTGGCACAAAACGTCAAAACGGATCGGCAAGCAAGGCAAGTTCTTAGTTCTGAAGAGTGCTAAATAACCATTTCCTACACCTCCAAATGGTAAAATATATTAGCAATATATTAAGGTTATCTGTTCTTTTATTAGTGCATTCATATTCCGCCCATCGGGGAGGTCATTTAAGTAACTAGCATCATCATTTAGAGATACAAATATTTAAATCATGCATGTAGCAAATCAATTTACGTTTAGCGATTAATATATTTTTGAGAATAACCGGATTAAGTGCTACAATTTCATAAGAGTTAGATACTTTTAACAGTATAACTGAGGATTATAGAAATAACCACAACTAGCTTAAAAAATCTAAAAGATGTTCTGGTACAGATTATCAAGATTTATAAAGCAATGCATTTTTCAATAAGAATCATTTATTAGTCCCAATGAGTGACAAATTGCACAAAACGTTGAGTACTGTTTATCTTATCAAGCGTTCTTAATACGTATTAAGGTTTAAATGAATTTATGCTCATTGAACTTGCACAACAAAATGTGCTCAACGAGTCGACCATAAGAACAGTACATCAAAATCAACATTTAAGGTCAAGAAAAAAAGTTCGTCAAATCGCACACAGAATGATTTTCAAGACTGGTGATTTGTCGAAGTATAAACTCTCCCGCACCCAGTTTGTTCTATGGCAATCTAAAGCTTAGAATCTACTACTCATTAAATACTTGTTAGATTTAATGGCCGTTGAAATTGGGGAGACAGTTTGACTAGATTGAGCGCGGGAGTAAACTGTGATTGCTTGTCGGGAAAGGTAATTGACGATTAGTCAAACAAACGTCAGACCCTAAAACAAAATGTCTGCTGATTAAGTATAAAGAAATAGCGTGATTTGTTTCCATACGAAACCATGTTAAAAGAGTCGATTGTCTGTTATGTAAACTGAACTGCGACTCATATACACATTAGGTATTGTATAACATATAACTTCAACAAGGAGAACATAACAGTTAGGTCGACAACATTCTCGTTACCGAGACACAGTGAATCATATGTTCAATTTTACTTATAGCGTATCAAGGAAGCAAGAAGTCAAGACGAATCAGCTCCCCCTCCCCTGTGAATTCAATTGCTTTTTCTTAACATTTAAATATATTTAGGTGCATTCAAAGCATTATCAAAACTCAAGTTATGAAGATCAATATCATTTGCAAATATGTTTACACTTTTCATCTGTCTGGTGTTTATTTCTAAGATTCTTTCATGTAAGCGCATGAAATGAGGTGCAAGTTCTAAATTGCTTTCTTGCACCGGACAGCTCTGTCATATATGCGCACAGGAATGATATCTCTTATTATTGACTCACAGTGGCGTTTTTTCGTTCATATTTTGAAATTTCTCTAGATTTGCGTTTAAGATAAAACAAATTTTCCACACAGAACAAAACTTTCGAGATAATTATAAAAGACAGTGAGTGACGTTTTGTTGTGACACAGTTTATCCGAGGAGATTCTAAAAAGCGTTTAGTCTACACAGCTGTTACATTGCTATTTCATGTTTTTGTAATTATAACATCTCTTTAAACGTGTTTATACGATAACAGAAGATGTTACGTTCATAGGTCTATAAAGGCAATGCAATCAGTGTAATTTTTACGCTTCACCTCCCGTCTCGCCTACCGTGAGACCAACGTCAATACATTGAAGCAAACCAAGTGACCTTAAATTCAAGTTTCAGACTTTACAACTACTTTCAACTATGTCTGCTGGGGTGCGTCATATAATTCCTTTTTATTTGACGATAAATCGAATAGCCTAGTCCAGGTTGAGAATCGCATCCTTGAATGTTCCCATTGTTGTGGTTCTTGCGATCCCTCCTCGAGATCATTCGAGTCGATGGTGGTCCTCACAAAGAACAAGTTCATTCATAAACTGTGTTGTATGGCTTTGTTGACCTTATACTGATCTGCTGCTATTTCTTACTGAGTTTGTAATATTGTTTTGTTTAATCAAAATGGTTAAATTCCTGGAGGTTCTTTCCTTTTTTGGTTTAGAATTTAATGAAGCCATCTGGCAGTATCTTTGGTACAATCTGCTCCACCTCCTTATAGAACAAAAGAATTCACGGTTGTTGTCACTTACATGGCTCATCTTGCATCCTCTTCTCTTGTACAAACCTTTGCTGCTCTGTGCTGTGTGCTTTAGAGCCTGCTTGTATGTAAACGAAGATGCCGTGAATCGTAAGATTCTTCTAATACACTGTTAACTGCATGTTTACCCCTTTGTCTAACAACATCGATAAGCTTGTTACAAGTATAGTGATAGGACTATACAATACTAGACACCTTATCGTCACTATCTCCTCAATCTTTGTCTCATTTTCATATTCCATCTTTTGACTTCCATATAACAACAAGAAAAGCAACTAATGCTTTAAAATGTTTGCCAAATTTATTAATTCTTCATCCTCTTTCTCATCCTTTAGTTCGTTTTTATCACTGTAAATTTTGATACAGATAAATAAATAAATGTAATTTACTAAACTCTTAACTGTAAACACACCATTTGCTTTAAACGTTTGCTAGTTTTGACAGAAGTTATCGTTCTTGATTTCAGATATGTCATTTGAGTCGTTCGTGACGTCACTAGTGGCGGCTTCGGAGCGGTATCTTTGGTTGAAGCCACTCCGTGGGGACTTACTCGGCATGATAGCTAAATATCAGGACTGTGTCAAAGCCTGCGAACATCAACACAGCAAAAGGACTTCCGAAAGAGCATCTGATGCATACGTCCGGCCGGCAATATGTACGTAGATTGAGTAAATACCCGGATGTATATTGTACATGGAGAACTATTTGTCTGTCTGTTCCATAAGTTACGGGAGGCCTTTTGGGGATTATTATTTATATTAAATATGCCATTCATTATGATCATAAATCAAAATGTAACTTTTCATTTGGCAACTAAGTTTTTGTATAATAAACATTCATCAATCTGTCCTTACTTGGTATTTCTACTTGCGTTGTTTAACGTAAGAAGAGGGTTGACTCTGGTCGTTACATATCAGCCTTCGAGGTTTCCTGTAACCTTTGATCAAACTGCTGGAATTTTATCGGGCATGGATTACACGCATTTCTAGTTTAAGGATATCGTGCCACTGAAAAACTGTAACTTAGCATTGTTAAATATGAGTTTTGATTAATCTTTCCTGAAAAGAAAACAACACCTCGCGAGACTTCAATGAAAAATTAATAAAGATGACACAAACAACATAAAATCAACATTGGTGGTATGTGTATAAATAATGTGTAAAATTCTGCGGAGCTAGACCGGGGTTCGAACCCATGGCCTCAGATTGTTATACTACCGCTCTAACCGACGGAGCTACCTCGTCAAACATGCATTACTTTGTTGATGTAGACAGTAAAAAAGTTAATATTTACCACACCATCTGGGCATTTCTTCTATTAACGACTCATCAGTGGTAATAAGGTCAAAAGACAGAACAAAATGTAGACATACAGCGAACGGAAAGGTGCCTATTAATCCTTTATAACGTTACAAAGGACTTGGGATGTTTTGAGTGATTTTCGGCCTCATGAAAAATAAAAATTTCAACTTTGATTTATTTACCAATTTCTTTTATAAACATCAAATTGGTAAATCGGGGCTAGCTTTTTTGGTCCACATTTATTAATTGGGCATGCGTACAAGCCCTATATCACATAACTTTTTCGTTGCTATTCAGAAATAGCCAAAATATGGTGTTTTCGATAGTTAGCACGCAGAAATGAAAGCCTCCTTTTATGACAGCCGAACATTTCTTCATACGACTGAACACTGGTATGACAATGTTTCAACATGCCAATTATGTATTTGGTTGCTGCTTGTGGAAGCTTTCAAAAATGGAACGGTGTTTAGTTAATTTGCTTCAAAATGGCCAATATTCAACGCATCATATTATAAAAAAATGTGGATTATTACCACTCTTTGTAATGCCATATCTCCCATACATTTGTCGTTTTGGGTCTTTTCGGCCTCATAAAAATTAAAAATTTCAACTTTAATTAATTTACAAATTTCTTTTATAAACATCAAATTAGTAAACCTGGGCTAGCTTTTTTGGTCTACATTTTTTAATTGGGCATGCGTAAAAGCCCTACATAACAACAATTTTTCGTTGCTATTCAGAAATAGCCAAAATATGGTGTTTTCGATAGTTAGCACGCAGAAATGAAAGCCTCCGTTTATGACAGCCGAAAATTTCTGCATACGACTGAACACTGGTATAACAATGTTTCAGCATGCCAATTATGTATTTGGTTGCTGCTTGTGGGGGCTTTTAAAAAAAATGAACGGTGATTAGTTAATTTGCTTCAAAATGGCCAATATTCAACGTAAATGGTACACAATAGACGACATTCACGCAACATATTATAAAGAATGTGGTGTATTACCTCTCTTTGTTATGCCATATCTCCTATGCCAGTTGTCCAATGAATTCGAAGTGTAGTATCTATGCACTTCATTTATCCAACATTACAAATATAACGACTAATTCTAAATCACAGATGAGGCCGAAAATGGCTCTAAACGTCCCTTGTCCTTTACAGCTTTTGGCTTCAATTGACAATTTAGTCTTCAACTCGTATTTCATTTAAACCTTTAAAAAGCCACGGTCACCCTCGGAACATGAGAGATCAACAGCAGAGTCAAACATCTCTTTACGTTAAGTCATGACTAGAAAAACAAACAAAAAAGGAGAATTAAGTTAAACTCTCACCGGTAATATCACGAAATATGTATTTTTTGGCTGTCTGGTCGTTTCTTTACTATATATTATCTCGATATTATGCACACAGTCAGAAACATACATCGGGTCTGTCTTTAGCTTCAAGGATACTACCATAGTCTAGTTTGTAATCTTTTGAAATCATTGTCCTGTTCTCAAAGGATTTACAGATTAATTTCCAAACGTTCTCATCACAAGCATTTACTGCAGAATTTGAAATTGACGTTTTAAACATGTTTGTCGCCATAACAATTACAATGGCCTAGACGCGATATTTCTGGAAATGGGCAAAAATTGTTTCTGTTGGCAATTTGAGAGAAACATTCAAGAGTCTCCAATAAAAGCAAAAACATAGTGAATATGCAATGTTTTCATCTGCTAAAAAAAATCAACAGCCGCAGAACACGTTATGATGTCACAGTATATTGTTGACACATTTCAATAATATAGATAGCCTTCAATTTTCAGTAAATAATAGAATAAAAACTTTCAAATTAACTGCGGGACAGAAAGAATGTTTGTGAAACCACAACGTCATTGTTTTCATCGCTTCATGTTTTGAAATCGATCACGTTGTCATTCACATTTTGAATTCGTCATCCAAGGTTTAAGAATCAACCAACAGAATTACATGTTGAGTCATTGGCATGACAACCTTAAACAATATAATCCTAAGATTACGACAAATGTTAGCTGGCGAATGTTTTAATTACAAATGTTCATATTTATCTTTTCAGGTTTAACGAAAGATTTCTGCCTGTAGCCGTCACCATGGTTACCGACAACTACGTCACTTTCATAGCTACGTTTTTTTCCAAAACAATATTTCAAAAGGAAGACAAATCTCAGAAAGACAGAAACGTAACTTGTCAATCAAAATGTATGAAAATATAACACAAATCAGTTGTGATGAAAAATTCTATACAAAGTAGCTATCAATATATATTAACACTAACGAATAGTCGAGTCGTTCTCAGTGTTCTTTGTATAATGGATGTGGAACATGTTTACCAAACCTCCATCTATACGACATGTAAAAGTAATATTAGGCCAGTTTTCACTAAAGTGATTTTGTGTTTTGTTCTCAAGAAAAGATCATGAATTGTCTTATAATAAGAGGGCAGAGCCGTTTACCTCTTACTTTTTCTAAACATAACATTTAACATTGTAGTAAAACGTGAAAATTGAAAAGCAGACACTGACAAATACTTCTTTTTCAGTTGCAAATATTCCTTCCTTTAAGAATATTTCTGCGATCAGATTAAATTATCCTTTTTCATCGAACATCCTATTTTATTTATAATTCACGTAATTTATCAAAACACATTGGCAAATAATAAAAAAATAAATCATTTGTCCAAGGAGTTATCCAGACATAAGTGTTATCAGAGGAGAGATGAGATTCGATGTTCGTTTTGGCAGTAATACCTTACACGTAGCTGTGTATGTATCGAGGTCATTTAATTGGTTAAAAATTGCAAAAGAGAGAAAAAATAGCTCAAGTAATGCTTGATTACATAAGACGTGTGTTTAATTATTGAAATATATAAACTAATTAATTCAGTAATTATGTAAGACATAGTTTTACTGTCACGCTATATTTGGTAGCATTGTGTGGTATAAACGGAGTTGAAAATATATCGAGGAAGGAAAACATGTCACATACAATAATAGGAATAATGAATGTTGAAGATGAGCACCAAATGAATTTGGGATTTATAATGATTATTGAAAATCTTTTTCGGACTAAATTTTAATCAGTACAACCAAATTACTTATTCCAGGGCTCATTTACTCTAAACAATGGACTAATGTGTGGCACTGTTATGCCAAAGAATGCTCCTTCAATATTCTTTTCAATACAATGACTTAGATAAATGCCTTAACATGGTTTTGTTTTTATTATATGGTACAACTCTATACAATGTAACACATTAAATATCAGATAGGAGTGTTATTTTTTCGTCGGAATTCAGAATGTAATTGATTTACATCGACCTCTAGCCTTATCTAACATTTCTTAATTATCGAAATAAAGCAGAATTTAGTCCTTATTATCTGTTCTTGTTGTTCTTTAACCTTCCGTTTTTGTCAATATATGTAATAGTTACACCTAGTATTCCAGTCAAACTAGGAATCGGTCTCTTCTTAAGGCATTTCCGGCATTCCTATAGCTTCAATATATTATTTCTAAATAGACCACCATACATTGCACAAATGAAAAAGATGATATTTAAAGAATATAAACGAGAGTTTTCTGGAAGTAAAATTGCAACAGTCCCAGACCTGGATTCAAACCCTTTGTTCTCCAATCATTATTTGTATCTGCAAGATATCTTGGGGGACATTCCGGGCCGAGTATCCCGGGGCTGCCGACATTATGCTATCGCTCTAACCAACTGGTCTACCTGGCTATAGGTACGATGTACTACCCCTGGTATATATCACACTATATCTATTACTAAAATGATATCAAGGGAAAGTTAATGTCTGTATGAAAAACTACAGTAGAACTCTTTAGTATTTTCCTTGCAGTGTGACAGGGTTCCGTTAATTAAGATATTTAAAAAAAATGCTTAAATTTATTATTGGTTATCCTGCAATGCTTCTCTGTATTGTGGGCTAGGAAAACAAACAACATGGTCCACTCCATGAAAGTGTTACTAAATGTATATATATGGGGCAAAGAAGTAATTCCAACAGTGTGGACATGTATATATATATATATATATATACTCTCGTAGTTTCATCGGTTGCGGCATATATATGCATTCGTTACAAATGTCTACAATGCACGTCTGCTATATTGATATGGGTCACAAGACACCCAAGCACGTTACATTTGTAACGAAACCCCGTGGTTGCAGTGAGGCCAACACAATTTACAGTTTAACATACAATTGTTCAAATGTACCAGTAGACAACGAAACATTGTATCAACAATTCGTTTCAAAATAAACCAACGAAAGAAAATCACATTGGATGTGTATTCCGTCTTTTCGTATTGCAGAGTTATCTGTTCTTGTGAACAGGTATTGATTGTTATTAGTTTGTGTGAAAAAAAACTACGTCGTTTTCTCAAACATTTATGACGTTAATCTCACAAACAAATGACGTAACAATCAATACCTGCTCACAAGAGCAGGTAACTCTGCAATATGAAAAGACGGAATACGTTTTTGGCAATGATTCAATAACTGTCAATGTGATTCTTGGCATTCCGCCTTTAATAAGGTTTGTGAGGACTTTTAAACAATTAATCAATTAACTTTTACCTTTAGAAAGAGAAACTTTTCGCTGCAGTTTAGTTTTCACCTTTTTGCCCTCTCTAATGAGGGCGATTTATCTTTACAGCGAACATTTGTAAACAAGATAATATACAATGTGTCTAGTAAATTAATGTGGAGGGTGAAAATAGAACTGGTTAGATATGGATTTTACCAGCGAATGGCGAAAGTTTGACATGGCAAAAATGTCCCGATATAGTTGTAGTATACCATCTATGAGATTTATTTACACAGAAAATCCTTCGATGACAGACTGATAATAGATATATATAAATTTAAATGTAAAATAAAAAAATAAAAAAAAATAAAAAAAAAATGCTGCAGTGTCGTGAATAAACTTTAGCATAAGAAATGGCATGGAAGAGGTCAAACGTCTGAACAAAGGTCGTCCACACAACTGAGCTCTGTATACGCAAGCAGTAAGCTATATAGTATTTAAAGACAAAGATGATGTTATTTGTAATAAAGTTACGAACAACTACATACTTCTGTGACAACACAGGGTCAACTTATTACAGGTTAATTTTTGTGATCGATTCGAATGTGTCATCAGTAAGACGTTCTTGCCAGGCTCGTCCAATTGTTACCATAAACTTCGGTAGTTTCCGTGTAACTATTCTGAAAATTATTATGTTTCATAAATAGTGTATAGAGCCGAATATCTAAATAGAAATAACAGCAAAACATGTGTCATTTTAATCTGTATACACTTACAATGTCATCATAGTCCGAAAGAGGGAGATATTAATGGAAATAAATTACAAATTATATCAATACAACTTCTTGCAAAGTTTGTCAGTCTGACAATGTTGTTGCAGACGCACTAAAATTTCTGACTAACTTTGGTCACAATTTCACACTAGTCATGCTATGCTAGCAATCTTTCATACATTTTACATTACTATTAATATCGTGATCCATCCAAATATTAACATCACACTCTGAGGTATTCGAAATACTCCTCCAATTAATAAACATTACCCAAATTGGCTTGAAAATTAAGCATTTATTTGTGTTAGAGATTACAACATTTGTAACCATTATATATTTAAAGGTAACATATTTCGGCTCGAAATCTGCAGCAGCTTTTAACAAGAAGTTGATAAATCATATTATACATTTTATAGTGTATATTTTTATTACATTTTTCGGGAATAGGTACATTGTAATTTAGACCAAGGCAGTAGTTTTAAAGTCATCTAACAGAGGTGTTGCAACGTCTATTTCGTTATGTAGTTTAACTCATTCACCCCTGAAGTTTCATAATGAACTATTCCAACCTTTGAATTGGAGGAGTTTAAATGTGTCTTCAGGGGGGAATGAGTTAAGAACTTTTATTGAAGTAGTTGCAAGCGATGTTCGGACCTGGTGCATTATACTAAAAAGAGATACGAATTTACATGAAGATGGTGTCTCAGTGGTGTTTCGACATTTCATCGACATTTATCCCAGCAAATGCAAACGATTGCAGGGATGTTTTTTTATTGCTAAGGGCTGGATAGAGGGATTTCTATTGCTAAGGGCTGGATAGAGGTACAAACTGACAATTGGCGTCCGGATTAATAAGGTTGGATGGATAGGTTGAAGATGGATAGCGGGACATCCCCTTCTGGGTAATGCTGGCTACTGGTGGCTAGTTTAGCGAGGTTGGTTAGCGACACAACCGGCAAGTGGTGTATGAATCCACAAGGCTGGATTGATACAGACAAACCTGTGCCTGGATCAGCGAGGATGGATAGCGGGACAACCCCTTCTGGGTAATGCTGGCTACTGGTGGCTAGTTTAGCGAGGTTGGTTAGCGACACAACCGGCAAGTGGTGTATGAATCCACAAGGCTGGATTGATACAGACAAACCTGTGCCCGGATCAGCGAGGATGGATAGAGGGACAATCCCTTCTAGACAATACTGGCTACCTGATAACTAGTGGTTGGTTTGGCAAGGTTGGATACGGATACACCGGTAACTTGTGTCTGGATCAGCGAGGATGACAAGAGTGACAACCACACAGTGCTGGCTACCTGATAACTGGTGGCTGGCCCAGCAAGGTTGATAAGTGGTGTCTGAATTAACAAGGCTGGATGGTTACGGACAAGCCGGTAACTTGTGTCTGGATCAGCGAGGATGACAAGAGTGACAACCACACAGTGCTGGCTACCTGATAACTGGTGGCTGGTTCAACAAGGTAATAAGGTTGATAAGTGGTGTCTGAATTAATAAGGCTGGATGGTTACGGACAAGCCGGTAACTTGTGTCTGGATCAGCGAGGATGGTAAGAATGAATGACATACCCCACAAGTGCTGGCTAAGCAATAAATGGTAGCTTGTTTAGCGATGGTGGGTAGCAAAACAACCTGTTAGGTGGTGTTTTAATGAACGAGGCTGACAATCCATTAAGTGAATTGGATGAACACTTAGCAGTACAAAACATGGAGAAGCACTCATGGTGCTGTATCGCTAACTACACATGTTTGACCTTCAAATCTGGTTAAATTGTTAATGGTCAAATACCATTACCATACATATAATGGATCGAAAGAGGATCAGTCATTCATTTGGACAAACCTACTTGTGCTACTGGTCAATTATTATGACTCTAGACCTCTTGGTTATTCAAAAGAAAACATCAAAAAGAGTTTAACATATTTGACCTCTGTGACATAGAAAATGGGTTATGGTCATTCATTCGAAAAAAGTTTAAGTTGATGTTGATCGTAATTCATCCTAGAATTCTTGTACCGAAATATCACAATCATAGGTCTTTTGACTAATCATTATGTTTTTTCAAAGATTTGATATATTTGACCTCTGTTACTTCGAATTGGTAATTGATCTGAACAAATTTAATAGCCCCTTATCCTTTCATGTTAATAGCCAACTATAATTATTATAATCTCTCTTAGCTATTCAAACTTAGTCATTTAAAGGTTTTGATCTATCCGAGCGTCATGACCTTGAAAATGAGCATTTTTGTCATAAAAAGAAAGCCATTTTATTAGTGTTTTTTTTTTACATGATTGACCACTCTACTTTCAGGGTTATTTATTTTAACAAATATAACAGCCCTCCATCTCAGCATGGTATAGCTTTATATAATGGCTTTTGGTCTCTTGATTATTAATATTTACAAGACGTTGCATAAAAAGTTTAAACACTTTTGATCTCTGTAACCTAGAAAGTGGTGGGTCAAGGTAATTTTTATGAACAAATTTAGTCATCCTTCATCCAAGCACGCAAAAAGGGCACTTTACAATGACCCTATTATTTTGTGTTTGATTTTTAATACCTTTTTATCCTTGAAACATATGGGGTTTTATTGGATATTTTGAGGACAACAGACCCCAAGTTGGTTAAGTATCTGAAGTTTCAAACCATCTAACTAATATCTATCATAATAATTCCAAACAAGTTTAAATTATTTCCTACTGAAAACTGTTCTCCTTTCAACGTGTCCTTTTAAAAAAAAAAAAAAAAAGTAGGTTAACAAGATTTCAACTTGTGAACTCCATGGTTAAAAAAAACACGATTTTAAAGCAATAATTTTACCCTCGCTGATACATTTTTTTCTTAAAACCTGTCTGAAATTAAACATTACCTACCCAGTAAAAGATCACGTTTTACATAGCTATATGCGGTGGATTTTATTTACAATATTTACACATACATGTGCAAGTCTAGGAGTACAAAACAAAGGATGTAAAAACGTATCAGAAAATTCATGCCGGCAGAGGTGTCCAAAAAAGTATACACATCTATCGTTTCACCACATTTTATGTATTGTTCTTCCATTCCGTCTTTACGTATTGCAGAGTTATCTTCTCTTGTGAGCAGGTATTGCGTCATTGGTTTGTGTGAGAAAATTGTCGTTTTCTCAAAAATTGATGACGTTACTCTCACAAACAAATGACGTAACAATCAATACCTGCTCACAAGAGAAGATAACTGTGCAATACGCAAAGACGGAATATGGAGTAATCCTTCAAACTGATCACTGACAGAAAGAATGTTTAAACTTCAAAAAAGAGCTGCGATGAGTTAAAATGTAAAAGATATTTTAACTCCAACTTTCATACTTATATTAAGAATTTGAACTGGATGCCTATACTTGACTTTTATACTATCAGGAAATGTGTATTAACCTACAAAATCCTCAATGATGAGGCTCCTGGTTTTTTAAAGCAAAATTTATTCACTTATGTCAGCCAGGTTTCAACTAGGACTACCCGTTCTTTAACATCAAAGAAACTCTATATTCCCAAATGCAGAACAACATTTTATAAGCGTTCATATTGAAGAGACACGAAACGCTGTCATTTAAAAAGTTATATCTTAGCAACTATTTTAAATCAACAACACATAGTGCAATATGAATTCGTAAAAGCTTACCTGGTCTGTCCTAAAGCCACAGTTTTATTTCAACTTTATCCTTTGAATTATCCCTACGGTGTATTTATTATTAAATTTCCATTCATATGTTATAGTTAAGATGTGTTCATTTTAATATGTCCTTGGTATAACAACTATTAACTAAAGTGAGGGCGCAGTGGGCAAACCTCGCAGCAAGAGACCTCCCAAACTCTTTGAAAGCTCTGTTGTGCCTCACTGAACTATCATCTTATACCGGTAATATAATATGTTTGTTTATTTATTTTGTTTCCATGTAAGTGATGTTGTACATTGTATATATGTCTTTTACAGGGCCATATTGTAAACTAGACAAAGTCTAACCATGTGACCCTGTCTAAATAAAAGAATTTATTATTATTATTATAGCTAGCTGTTGTTGTGTAGACAGATTTGTTAATGACCAAAACTACCCTCTCAAACCATATTTATTTTTTGTCTCTCAAATATATGAAGCCCACCTAGTCCACTTTGAAATATACAGTATATATGAATTGTAGTGCTGTTTTTATTTTTGAATTTTGATACCAGGTACATGTAATGTTACAGCAGTTAATTGTTGTACAAAAATATCATCCTTGACCACCAGATGCTACCCTACACTGCTACAAAAGGATGAACCAGGGGAAATGAAATTTACATTTTAGATTCAGCACCTTTGGGCCCTTTCATCCTTGACCAGTATTTGATTTTAGGACATATAATCTGAAAGGAAGATTCGAGACATTGGTCAATTTTTCTGTAAAATTTTCACCCTAGCAAAAGCACCTTGACTATGGACAATAGCCCTAATTTTTCAATCCCTAATCGTGCTATCGATTACCAAGGATGTTCCTTACTTTAAAGAAATTTGTCCACTGGTTAGATTATAGTAATAAATGTAAAAAGTTTCTGCATGACTGACGTTTAATGTTGTTGTGTGAAGAGTGATTGTAATGTGTTTCTCGAGTCTTTAGCTTAAATTAGGACACCTTAAAATACATAAACTTCACTCCATCTGTAGTACTTCTCCCAATTATTGATTTGTGAATATTAATGAAAAAGATTTTCAACAGGAACACGGTAACATAATTTTATGTACAAGATATTTATAGTAAAACCTTATTATAACGGCCCTCTTTTCATTTGCCATCTTATATTGAGGTCCCTTTCATTCTTTTCTTAAGAATTATTCATGCTTACCTCAATGTATAGACAAACCCCTTTATAATGGCAATCTTTCTCTGGACAAATGGTGGCAGTATATGGAGTGTTACCGTGATGTATTCAATGTATTGTGTAATGTGTTTTCTGGGGCATCTTCGTACATGTTCTTTCAATCCATCTAGTGACCAGTGCTGTTTTGCTTCAGAGAATAACGATTTAAGATGAAAAAATCTCCACAGTAATGGTTTAGTTTTTACAAAGGTAACCATTTAATAAGCAAGGTACATAAAAAATTAGAAACAAGTCTGTTTTGTTTGAAGACAAACATTTAATGGTAGGGCCCCGTATCAGTGTATCGTCACAAAAACTAGCGCAGCGATTTACGTGTTTTTGTTGCAGAGGCAGGCCGTGTGACAGATTTAGCTTGCGACGTCACAGTACGCTTCTGCCTTTTTGGTGTGGTCACTGAAGTAGATACCTCTGTGTCTTTTCTTGCCAATGTTGATTTTGCCGGAAGCGACTTGGCTAACTTTCGTTTTGAAGTCCTCCTAGTATTTGGGGGAGTCTTAAAACTGATTTCCTCCTCCTCAGAATCATCCACAAGCAATGACTTATCTGCCTTTTTAGGCCCCACTTTCATAGCCTTTTTCGGCTCCGATTTTACAGATTTTATTGATGGTGGTTTCGGAGCATTTTTAGCGGTTAATTTCACAGCTGTATTAGAATCTGATTTCACTGCCTTCTTGGATTCTGATTTTAGAGCCATCTCTGCATTTGATTTCACAGTTTCTTTTTGCTCCGATTTCCCATCCATTTTCGGTTGTTTTTTGACAGCCTTTTTAGTGGTTGTTTTGACAGCCTTTTTAGGGGATGCATCTTGGTTCCTCTGTCTGAATTCTTCCGATACAAGTTTTTGGTCTTCCTTTTTCTCTGCAAGCCATGCCTCACGTCTGGCTTTCACCTTTGAAAATCTTTTTGCTTTCGCTTCTTGCTTCCTACGTTTGAATTCTTCTGCTATCGCCTGTTTGTCTTCCACTATCTCTCTATTGATTTTCACCTTTTCTCCAAGTTTGGCAGTTTCCTCCTTAAGCTCGTCCTACAGGTATGACATAAAAAGGTTACAATGACAATGCCTATGAACACTACGTTAAATTAATTATCTGAAGTTACTGAATCTCATTGTTTATTCTCTAAATATCTTGTTTGTCACAATTACAAGCGTGACCGGGTGATTACGTTACACAATAAAATGACAGTACAGCTGTCAAACTTTGATGTTTCGAACTTTACGGGATTACCGGGAAAAATTTGAATTGTCGAGACTTCGACTCGAGAATGCTAAACTTTGAACATGAACTGATTGTGATTGTTATAAGTGACGGAACAAACACAAGGCAAATAATTTAATATGAAAACCATTAATATTGGTTTTAACGTAATTAGAACAAATTTGTTTCAAAGTATGTATCAACGTTTCATGCCACTGTTACTAACTTCAGAACCACTGAACTTACCATGCCAGCATAGCTGAACTCCACTCCCAAAGCTTTGAGCTTTTCCATCTTTTTCTCATTTTTGGATATGAAATTCTTCATATTGCGCAGTTGAATTTTATCTTTTTTTGTTTTATTATGGACGAAGGTGTTCTTTTCCCTTGTTTTGAAAGGCACAATTCTTCTATTCACCACTCTGAAGGTGCCCTCGTTTACTTTTTCACTTGGCACAAACTCGCCTAAAAATAAAAGTTATGGTTCTGTTATTGAATATTAAATAATGCACATAAATAGCAGCAATGTGCATATGATGTAAAGAGAATATTCTATGTTTTCCTACGAATCTCACATTCTGTATATCTCATGTGCATCAGAAATTGTTTGCTGCTATTTCACAGTCGTTGAATTATTATAATTGAAAAAAAAATGACATAAATGAAGTGAAGTAATACAGTGAAATAGTTACAAATCTGCAACTTCAGAAGTTATTCAAGGTTCCACTGTACTTGTAGATATTTAGTATACATCCTTGTAACTGGAGACAGGTCACTTTTAATTCATGTGAATCGGACAGTTTTTTTTTTTTAAATGATTTATGATTTTTTTCACAAAGTCCAAAGATGAATCCATATATCCTGACAAAAAAATAAATCCAAATGCAGACTTGTGCACAAATTTTTCATGTGTTTAATATTTGATTAGATTTGAAATAAAATCCTTGAAATTATTCTAGAAATGAACACACCTAATTGAATATACTGGAATATGTAAAAAAAAAAAAAAAAAAAAAAAAAAGGATGTGAGGTGCACATGAGCTAATTGATCAATTTATAAAACATGTACATTAGTCGTTAGTATAAATGTCAAAACTGAAAAACTATTGAAATAAAATAACAAGCAATATGGATTAATATGTCTTGCCTGTACCCCGCTTTGACCATCAATGCACATATCAGAGAAACTAACTTAAACTAATAACTTAATGTTGATGGAGATGCTGACAAAGTCATGATCAATGGACCATGAAAGGTACAAGGTCGCAACAAGCATTTGATGCATGAGTTGATATATATGTACTACCTCAGATGCATCTATAGTCCAAATTTGGTTGGTCTAGCACTGATTATTTCAGTGAAACTAACTTAAATGCAAAAACATCAATGTTGAAGCTGCCGTCTTCACCAGAAAAGCAACACCTTAGTCTCGCTTCCGCTACTTCGTGGCGGCGTGACAAAAATGACACTGGCAGTCATGTACATTGTATCTGTCAACAAGATCCTGTTTACTTACATTTCAAAAGCCTTTCAAACAACAGGTAATTATTCATTGTTTCCGCAACAACTTTCGCTACATCTTCATATAGAAACTCTATGAAGGCAAACCCTTTACTGCGTCCTGTCTGTAAGGGAAAATGAGAAAAATGAACATTCTATGTATATAAGTTATAAACCAGTTATTTAGACATGTCAATTAATCAAAACAAAGACTTATAAAGTCTATAACATGTATAGTAGGTAAAGTGGAAATCTACCCGAGGTTGTAGAATTGGGGTCAGAAAATTCATACAAGTCTTTGCGGAAGTTCTAACTCAAAATTTATATCTAAAATGTTACAGACTCTTGTGAAAGGACAACATTTTAGCTATAGTGAAAGATAGCCATTTTCAATCTCGCTTCTCTTACAACCTGATACTGCAGGTGTTAGACTCCCCTTTGCTCTCTGCACCTCTGGAATATGTCATAGCAAAATTGAAGGCTCAGTGTGAACGCCTTGCGGATGAGAAGAGAAGACTAGGTTTGATCCTTCGATGTATGTACATCAAAAGAATTTGTCAGTTAAAATTGACTCGCTTTAAAGTCGGGTGTCGGCTCCTCTTGTAATCTTCAAAGGACAGGTATCAGCCTAGCGATTGATTTTGGTTTTTTTACCCGACACCAATTAAATAGCTAGCCACATGCCTTCAGGCTTTAATTTTTGTTATGACATAAGCCAGTGATGCAGAGGGGGGAAAGTGAGCGTAACCCGTGGAGTATCAAGGATGACTGTCCAAAGAAATTGTAAAAAACAAAATTTGTCATTGAACCGTGATTCAGTTATCATTACTGATTCTTGTTAACATTAATCACAACATGGTCAACTACAGTGTGACCAATCAGAATGCTTTTGAATATAAGATTTACCAACTCTATACATACCTTTAAGCTTCTGCAGAGTTTGAGGCGTGTCACTGTACCAAACTGGCTGAAGAACCCCCTCATCTGAGGCTCATGGAATCCCACTGGGATGTGTCCCAGGTAGACGACACCTTTTGGTGCATCACTGTTTTTCTGTAAGGTAAAGTAATAATAGTCTATAGCTATAGTCTACTGATATTTGTCATTATTTTTCATTAAATTTACTTCCAATTTTCTATGAAATGTTATATTCCCTCCAGTATGTTTCTAATTTCAAACCTACCAAATCTAAGTGTTTTATAAGGTTTTTCCATATTTTTTTTTTTAATATTTTGTTTTACTTTCGAAATCACCAGGATTATTTCTGACTTTGTTTTTGTTTCACTTAAACTAATTCAAGGCAAAGAGGAGCTTAACTCGTATGCATTCACCCCTGAAATTTTTATTATGAACTATTTCAACCTTTGAATTGGAAGAGATCATCATCAAATGTGTCTCCAAGGGAGGTGAATGAGTTTAATTATGGGACGCCATGTAATATATAATATTGGTCCCTTCTTTCGTTGTGCACAAGATAATAGTGACCACATGCAAATTAATTGTTTACATATATACATATTGCCAGATAAGACAGCAGCTAAATCAGCCTTGTATAGCCAGATTCCTCAGATCTGAACACTTGTAATTAGTGGCCATGCCCATCTGCAAACACCAGCTTTTGGCATGAATTTCTCCCAAACTGCTTATGTATCAGGTATTGGACTGGAGCACCAGTTTTGTTCGGTTTTATTTTGTTGAACATCATATCAAAAGCTATGATGTCTCCATGTGTGTTGAGTAAGCGTGCATGTCTAGTGTATTCGTGCTTGTGTGTACGTATGTGTGCTGGAGACAGGGTTTCTTGAGGTATTTGCCTCCTTGCAATAGTGTGGATCTGATAACAACTTCAGTGTTCCATTGACAACAGGTAAAACACTCGTTGCAATAACCCTAAATGCTAAACGTTATAAGCAGGCATCCTCGTCTCATCGGTTTCCATGCCATTTAGAAGCAGCCATGATCTTGTGCTCATATTGGTAGAAAATAGTTGAAATTACTGATGACTGTAATAGCTATGTGAACAATCTACTAATGGAAACAAAAAATATAGTGCTCAACAACAACTATATTTAAACAAAAATAAGAACAAACATTTTTCAACAAACTTCACCTGTCGGAAGTAGCCTTCATATGTTTCCATGCCTCTAATTGGATGCAGTGTTCAAAGAGGGACAACTTAAATAAACTAAAAAAGAAATTCTCCAACGTTGCCCACACAAACAATGATATTTGATCATTAAGTTTATTATAAAAACAAATTTTCAAAATTGCACATTCTTTATTCATTTTGCAATATGTCAACTGACATGGATTCATATAATTCAATAAATTTATTTTATTTACTTGGTTATATTGAATAGAATCTTATTATTTATTTGTATAGTCTCATATATAATTGGTTTTGTTTGATGGCAACTTATTGTTGATTCTTTTTCCATTTAAAATTGGAAGTTCACATCAAAGCAAAATTAAGGTTTCTTCGCACTTCGGTGTAAACAGTAGCTTGGTTTCAGGATTTTGAGTATGACGTAAATTGTAATAATTTCTGTTAATAAATATACACATCAGTAATTTTAGCAACACACTTAACTTTTATCTAATGTTTATACTCATTCTAAAACCTTTTATTCTAAAAATTGAGGGTACCAATTAAGGTTTTAAAGGTGTATATGAAATCATTTCATTTACATTACAGAAAAAATCCTGGAATTTGATAGCAGTGGGTTATTTCAGCAAGTTTTAATGAAAATGAAAATTAAGAGGGGCCATTGTATGTAAAATTTAAAGAAAAAAGGAACATGGAGGGGTCAATTTCAGTTTTGGGGGGTCAATGGCAGCCTACCGCATTACGTCCCTTTATAGTTGGCCGCTAATAAACATTGGCGCTGTCTGTCAACGGTAGTTCCGGTTTGAGCTCGTATGCAACGCTCCGATGCAAATAATGCTAAAATTGCGCGACTATTAACGTCTGTATTCTTAACACAATTATTATGATGCAAGTGTTTTTTTTTGTGTATATGGTTAAATGTGTTGTGTTGCATATATTCGCGAATTATTAGCAGAAATGTTATCATTTTGATACCTTTGTCAACATTTTTTCGAGAGCATCTACATGTAAACACTGACTGACTCGACTCCTGGACCTAGATATGTTATGTGTTGGAGTGATCAGCCTCTTACGTCATCATAAGTGACACACCTGTGCTATGGTGTTTGCCGGCGAAGCATATAACCCGTGGATACTTAAGTCAAATTAAAGGTATTTTTGTGCACTTTTACTTGAGGAAGAGAGGGTGGGGTTATTACAAAGCGCAGGGGTTTGTTACAAATTTTATGCTAAACTGATATGGGTCACACAGCATATAAATATATCAGGCTTCATTTCAAAAAGCTATAATATTTAGTGATTTTTAAGGTGAATTTGGGGTATTTAAAACATGCATATTTGTTTATACTTGTATGTGCTGTGACAGTCAACTTAGTGTGTGTATCTAAGACATTTTATACAAACCCCTGTGGTCTGAGCAAGCTAATATTTTGATAACATATGTTTAAAGATATTGATTGAATCATTACTAACTGTTGAACAGAAAATTATATGTACATGTGTCAATATGTATTTAACTGTGTGATTCACATTTGCTTTTGTAATTATCCATAGACAAATGCAATATCTAACATCTGTGGAGGTCATGTCAACCTTTATTTACATCCCAAGTCTTGCTCAAAACAATTATGTGTAGCTGATGCATTTTTAACATCTGGTAACTGTGATTGTACCTATACAATACGTTCAATCATACGAGTTCCAGAGTAGTCATCCACTTTTTTCTTTCCACTCTAACATCTGGACTAAGTACAACATATCAAGTGTAAACATGTATTTATTGATGCCTAAACTCGGTTCATAAAATGTAATATGCACACATTAATTCTGTAGCATCTACAACTATCCGAACCCCAGTCATTTCTGTATAATGTTTAGGCAAATTTGTTCTCTTGATGGCCATGGGATAAGGGACTGCATGTGATCAAACATAAAATTTATCCATGTATTAATGATTCGAGAAACTGTCATAACAGACACACTAAATACTAAATAGATCTGCAAGGAATTCTTGCCGAAGACCATGCCTCAACTTCAAACACACCATGAAGAACTCATCGATTGTTCGTAGGCTCCTTTTCTTCCCAGGTTTCTCAATATTTGGGTGGGAATACTTTCTGTCTTCTGCATGTAGTTGAGTTCTTTTTTCCCCTTCCCAGTAAGTCAACTTTTCTGCACCATGCTTGCAGAAAGTAGTAAAAAACAGTAAAAATGTTGCATAATTTGGATAACCAGTATAATATTTTGTCTTCTCATCATCGTTTTCAATTACCTCTGGTTTGAAAATAGGAACAAATGTCTGAGATGCAGATGATTTCATACATTTGGCCTTATTTAATTGTGTCTGTGTAGCATCATCTCTTACATGCACATCTGATGTCTGGACATATACGGAATCCCCAACTATAGGGTCAGTCTGTGTTTCAGAACTTTCCTTTAAAGACAAAGAACCAATAGTAGAAGATATACATGTATCCCTACAGGGAATGTTTTCAGTGTTCTCAAATTCAGAATAGCGCACTAAAGGTCTGCGGGGTAACACTATTTTCCTTGGTGTGGTCAGATTCAATTTGGATGGAATAGATCCCTGTTTGCATATATTGTTTTCAAAATGGAAATTGCAGAGTCTAGAGTTGGAGCTAATTGGAGCATCTGGTCGCACAAGTTTGATTTTTTGAATCCACAATGATCTCCTTGTTGTTTGATCGGCACCGTCACCTGATGGAATGCAGTGCAGTTTTACTGTTGTACCATCATCACAAATTTTACCTGCATAGTTGGAGCACAGTAAACAGTATCTTTTCCCTCCCTTAACAATGATAGAATCTGAAATCATATAAAGGGATTTATAATGTTATTTGTTTTTTTACTGGTAATGTTTTAATATTTTTGACAAGAATAGTTTACACATTCAAACCTGCACATCACCATGGACATTCATTGTTAAAATAGATTAAATAAGTGTTGTGATACTATTCCAAAAAGGAAGGGTTTCTTGTTTTATAGTAAAGGAATCAAAAGTATATCTAGAAATGATTCAAATCTCTGAAGTAGTGTCTGATTTTCATGTTGTAATCATGCATCATTGGATCAGACATACATAGATGAAAGCATTCTAAAATTAAATTTGTTAACCTATGCATGATTTTACTGTGGCTGGGATTACATTGTATGTTTTATGAAATTGTAAACAAAAAAAAAGAAGAACCCATTTAATAAATGTTGTTTACAAATGTGGTTTATAACCTCTTTATCTTGTGAGAGTGAATGCTAAACCATTTTTATTAATTTTATTTCCTAAAAGACATTTATTACCTACCTATCTACCCATCAGTGTTTTTTCTGTCTATGTTAGTATGTAAATCCACCCACCATCCCCACCCCCTCATGAACGTGGGTGTGATAAATTATTACCATAAAGGTGCGATCATTCAAAATATACTTGTGAAAATTTCCCGAAATACCCCCAAAACACTGCCAATTTACACAAATATGTAAGAGGTGAGAGAATTTTTGGCTATATGACGACAATGACACCAAAAAAGTTAAGTGGGATCGTGAGAGTAAAGAGTTATTGTTTTGCTGAAAAAGCGTATCTGGATAGTGTCCATAACGTTACTTGTGCACCTTGGGCTTATTTCTCAGAATGAACATTTACCTTTATCGTCCTTTCGATCGTCCATGTTATCTGCTCGTTCATCCTAAAATCTTTGTTATCGAATGACAATTCCGCATTATGATGGTCTTATGTCATCATATGTTATCAAAACGGCACGTATTGATTGATACACACTAGATGTCAACACCCTCACGACGTTAGACGCCGGACCTTGGTTACACCGGAACTACCTTACGCGCGTCTGCAACTTTTGTCACAAGTGTGGTGGTGTTAGAGTCGCGTCAAAGGGACGTAATGCGGTAGGCTGCCATTGGCGGCCACATAACACCCTCCAGGATTTCCCCTGCATTATATATTACTCGAGCCCCTATAGCTAGCTGTGGCTTCGACAGTGGAAAAAATTGGCGAGGCAGTGTGGCCTCATTTTAGTCATTTGAATATGACACCCTCGTACATTTGACAGACAAAAAAGACAGGGCATATAAATGTGTTTTTTTCAGGTAAAGTTTCATTTTGAGCAAAATAAAATAGTTTTTGAACAAAACAACATGTCACTCTGGTAAAATACTAGCCGCTTCCTACCGCCCCGGCTAGGGAGAATTTCTCTTTAGCTCATTCGGTAGAGCGTAAGACTAGTAAGCCAGAGGACCCGGGTTCGCCTCCTAGCGGAGGCATTGAAAAAATAATGACTTCTGTTACAAACACATTCATGCTCTTTTTTAAATTCATCGTGTCAAGCAGGTCACATATTGGTATGCAACGGCCTGGGGACAGAACCCATTCATTGCCACTTGGGCGAACGCTCATACGCCAAGGCCAAAAATGAAGTATTGTCAAGCAAGGAACTAGGAAACAAACAGGTTTTCAGAAAGTAGAGAGAATGGAGCATCGGTAAAGCTGGCTATATAGACAGATTTTGACTAAATATATCTAGGACGAATAATGGGCTGAACCATGCTGTAACAGATTACAGAATCAATAGAATTTGCTCAGCTTCAAAACCGATACATAATAAGTATTTTGGTAGGTGTGTTACCTTTGCTTTGATGTTCTTTACTTTCTTTTCAAATTCTATTTGCTGATCTGTTTCCAAACTGACATTTGGAGGCATTTTGAAATTGTTTTCCTCTGGTCCACGTTTCTCGATGGAGGCCGCCATCTTTGTTTGGTAAAAAAGAACGTGGTGCATTGTGGGCGATATAGCCTCGCTTCGTCTAGGGGGAGCTAAATCTTGCTCAAAAACGAGCCTCGCACATCATTTTCAGAAAATCATATATATAACATATCATATGTATATCTAGTTCTAACTTTCAACAGCAATCATGAAAACTTGATAAAACCAGTCACTTTCTATCAAGATAATGAAGTTATATTGATCATGGATATATTATCGTCGTTCATTGTCATTCTTTCAGAAATACGTGCTGGTAGCTTTTTTTTTTTGAAAATGGAAACAAGAGGCCCAAGGGCCTTAGCGGTGACCTGAGTTATATCATAGGTACTGGTAGCTTTATTTTATTGTTTAGATGTGATGTGGAAATCAGCATGTAAACTAAGTGAAATACAATACTTGTCATGTCATCAAAGGATAAGAATTTGAAAATATTGGTAAATGTTGGGGCAGGAATCCCAATTTTCCAAAGTAATACTCTCATTCACCAAAGATGATTCTGACAAAGTTTGAGTAATTTTCTGCTGAAAATGGATGAAATATATACCCAAAAGTGTTATTTCCCTATATAAACTATTGTAAACTTTACCCCCTACCCAAGGGAGAACGGATACCTCCTCCAAGGATGATTCTGACCAAGTAAAAATAATTTCCAACAGAAAATTGTCAAAATATACCCAAAAGTGTTGTTTCCCTATATAAACTATAGTAAACTTTACCCCCTCCCCAAGGGAGAACGGATAGCTCGGGGGTCCTGAAATTTACAATTTAAAGAAAGCCCCTGATGATCTTTCCATCCATGCAGAGAAAATGACTGTAATACCTCTGAGTCTGGAGAAGAAGATTTTTGAAATATTGGTTAATTTTCCCTTTTGGGCCCCGCCCTGGCCCCTAGGGTTGGGGTAGGCATCCCAATTTTACAATTTGGTAGCCTCATATACCAAGGATGATTCTGACCAAGTTTGAAAAAATTCCACCAACTGGTTCTTGAGAAGAAGTTGATAATGTAAAAGTTTACGCACGACGCACGACGGACGACGACGGACGGAAAGTGATCGGAATAGGTCACTTGAGCAAAGCTCAGGTGACCTAAAAAGTAGTATCGATATACTTTATTAATTGTTCATGCATATACATGTAATCGGGCTACATAATACAATATAGATCTTGTCTATTTCAATAAGGGTGACCTTTTCACGTCCAGTCGGGGAATCGAACCCCGGTCGCCTCGGTGAAAGGCAAGTGCGCTATCCACTGCACCACCCGACCACCCTGAAACAAGTTGAATTTGTAGTTCCAAATATTGCAGCCGTTATAAATATGATTCGACTTGAAGCCGTTATAAATATGGTTCGACTTGAAGCCGTTATGATGATATTTATTTGACTCCATGTTTCTTTTAATTTAACGAATCAAATAGTTTCTACATTTCTTCTGCCATCTTTACACAATGTATGATGACACCAATCGACCCGTTGAATGCAATGACATACGTCTCTGTTTAGAGGCAAGTTACAATCGATTACCCACTATGATGGGTAACAGGTCAAATAAATTGATCGGGTAAAAATGAAATCGTTTCAGTTTAAACATATTTTATTGCCAAAAAAATGCAAGAGGATTGGGCACAAGTTACATGAACATTATTAACGCCCTTTCCTTATAAGATAAATAATTGTATATACACATCATAAGATGGCTTTCATAGTTAAATCACTAGATTTATCTATTATTGAGAGAGAGAGAGAGAGAGAGAGAGAGAGAGAGAGAGAGAGNAAAATGGAACCATCCAGCACAGTCAGCGCAGTGATATCCTGGCACTATTCCATACTTTCAACTATTCAACAGTTCGTCACGTCCCGTGCTTTGTGTCTTTCTCCTTTTCATTCCATCCTTTCTCGAAAATTCGTTTCTACCGCACTGGCTGTAACTGAATGGCCCATCACATGCCTATATTACATACATTCCAGCACACGCACACTTCTTGCATTCACGCTCTCGTGCACTTAAAAGAAAGTTAAACATTACAGAGGATTACTAAAATAATAAGGAACACACAAGTGTACGTTATGCCATGTAATACGGACACAAGCTAAGAAATGAATATGAAAGATAATGAGGACTGTTGGAGAGGAGACAGAAGAACGTGACCAAATTTAAAACCTGCGAGTACTCGATACATACTGTTGGACATATATAAATACATTTTTATTTTCGTCACTCGAATAATCTTCATGGCCATACAATAATTTCTCTAAGCTTAGAGGTAAGTATTCATGAAGATTTCTAAACATTTCAAATCTTTGATCAGTATATATACTGCATGTAAAAAAGAAATGATGAGCATTTTCATTAGGATATCCACATGCACAAATAGGAGAGTTGATTAGGTTAACATTAAAGAGATCATCATTTAAAGGGCTGCATTTATGACGGAGTTTGGTTAGTAAAATATTTAGCTTACGGTCACCGGCTAAAATCATTATGAATTATTAAAAATTTAAAAGTTATACCTGTAACAATAGTTTTTCAGCTATGACCCATACGTACATGTGTAGTATCACACTAGATAATATTACGTGAGCTTTTCAGACTGAGTTTGTGATAAAACGTGTTATTTTTTTTACGTTGAAGATATTGTACATAATCAATAATCAAGGAAACAGTATCTTTATTACAATCTAAAATGTATAAACGAAGAAAGAATGTGCATATTTCTAGTGGTGTGTAAGGTAAGTATGTAGACTATTTATTATTGCTAGGTAAATCATCATCCGACAAAGAGGCTCATATTTTCAATGGGAAACATTGACACTTTATTTAGTTTGTGACGGTATTGGTAAACAAATTGGCTTATAACGAACACATTTTAATTAAATTACAATGAAACCAGTTGTGATACCTGACTAAACGGTTCCCACCTATTTATATGTGATATTACAATAAGGTGAAATCCGGATCGTATCGTTCGCCAATTGGGTTCTATGTTAGTTCATACTACGACATTTTAAACACCTCGCTACTCTTCCTTGAACTGTATGAAAAAAGCGAGGTGTCCTGATAGTATGCCTGGCAACGACAAAACAAGATGGCGAAGGTGGTCATTGCAGGTACGAAATAAAACGATATATCGCTTTTTTTCTGCTGTATTCGTGGTTGCTAATTCACTTATCGAACATGAAGTTTGAGTATTTCTAGTTTACACTACATAATTGTTTGTGACTTTGTTCATGTAGATGCAGATACAGCTCTAAGCGTTGGACAATGTTTTTTTATCGACATGATGTTTCGTTTTTCTGTCGAGTCTGTGGTGTTTGTTGGTCATAACCATATATCAGGGGAAATTGAAATTGTGTATGTATACATGGATTTAAAAACGTTCTGCTTACATTGGTTGTCCGTAATGATTGACTACCACCCTTTAATTTGTTTTAACAGGCAGTTCATTTCAGATTAAATCGTTGACAATTGTAGCATAGAGAAGATTCATATTTACAAGCTTAACACAGATGTATGTGCATAAACTTTATGGCAATTTTACTGTACTGTTGGCCCAATGTACAACATTTTAAGTGGTATTTATTGCTTTCAAAAACTGTAAAGCTAGTGTTCTGTCATCCTCTATAAAATTATAATCATATAGTTTTTCTAAATAAAACATCAATAGGAGCAATACAGTATTGATGGATATTGTAACAAAGAAATTTATCAATTTTGTTCTTTATTTTTTTTAAATTTATACAAATGTAGTAATTTTTCTGATGTTATTTCACCTCGTTTATTAATCCACAGACGTTGCCAAAAATGATGCATAACTACATTGTATGCATTCTTACGCTAGACTCTTGTTGTAATAATAATAATAATCTTTATTTAACGTTGTCTTCTTCTTTATTTTACGGGGGCTCCATCAATGTTGATGTTTATACCCTCGGGGGTCCTATTGCAGAGGCATGAAAAAGGGGGTTATTTACAGTGATTAGTTGTTTATTTTTTTGTGATTTTTTTGTGCAAGGTATAGATAAAAGATAAAAGCTGGCATATGTTATTTAGCATGTGATGAGGGCTTCAAGTACTGGTCTGCATAGGGTAGGTTTTGTGCATTGAACTGCTGCTATGGGAAGGAGATTCCATTGTGTTATTGTCTGTGGAAAGAATGAATATTTGTAGGTGTCCTTTGTACAGATATGTGTTTGTATGCGTGAGGGTGTGCATGTCTGGTTTGAGGTACAATACAATTGTCAACAACAAACATAAGCTTTGTAGAGTTTTTATTACGATGCCGCTAAGGGAACAAATGGTGTTTTCATGGTGGAGGAAAATCCACGGGGAAAACCGCCGTGTCATCTGAGGGATAACAACTAACCCTATCAGACATCACTCTCTTTTTTCTGCCACAGCTGGGGATCGAACAGAAATTATTGGGAGAGCGAGTGGTCTGAAACTCACATTTTTTGATTGCACACATTAGTACGATGACTGTGCGCGCTAGCAATCACAGCTACCGAGGCACCTGAAAAAGAGATATGCTTTTTGGTACTGTTCCAAATTGGGTCCTTCCTCCTTAGTAAAACCTATGTATTAGAATTTTGTGTGTCTACATAAATGTAATGCTCAAAAGTTTTGATCAATTTCAGGGAAAGCTGACTGTCCTTACTATGCCAGATGTGAGCTTCTTGGGGACAAACTAGCAAAAAACCTTCCAGACTTTTGTCTCCACAAAATCGTGAAACAGAATGACGAATGGGAGGTGAGTTTCGGATCAGATCAAATATAAATCTGGCATCTGTTTCAGTTGGTATGTCAGTTAAAACAATTCATAGTGAAGGGGATTACTTTTTATATATATATATTATAAATTTTCTATATATTTTTCATCAAATATATCTGATCCTTTTCATGAACTTAAATGATAAATGAAACAAAACAGAACTTTTGGCTATATAAAATACATAATTTTAAATTGTATGACATATGGTGTGACTGTTGTGCTTTCTTTTTAGAAATGGCTTAAGGCAACTTGCAATGAGCGTGGATGGACGCACATGAAGTCGCCAATTGTATGGAGGGAGTTGATTGATCGTGGTGGAAAAGGTGTCTTGATCGGAGGTGCAAATGATTTCCAGGAGTATGCTCATGGATACTATGGCATGGAATCGGAACTTCTCAGCTCCGATATGCTTAAAATCTCCAAGGAAAACTTACAGTACAAAAAAGAAGTTGATGAAGAAGAGAAAGAATTCAAAGCCCAGAGTAAACCTCTTCATGTGTGTCTCACAGTGGCATCTAATCCTGCCTGCTATGCCATGGTGAATGCCATCTCCAAGGGGGATGTGTTTGGTAGCAAACAGGAAGTGGCTCTCCATCTATATGATGCTAACGATAAAATGGAAATGCTGGAAGGATTAAGGATGGAGGCCATCGACCTGGCCCATGGACTTTTGAGGGACGTAACAGTCGAATCAAATTTGTGTAAGGCTTTCAGTAACTGCAGTGCAATCATCCTTATGGATGAGGTTGTGAGGAATGAAGGGGAAGATAAGGACTCGTGGTACAAAAGAAATTCAAACCTGTTCTGTAATTATGCAAAAATTATAAATGATGTGGCTAGAAAGAATGTGAAGGTTCTCTTGACAGGTGATGGACCAGTCAATTTTAATGTATTTATGATGCTTCAGAATGCTCCAAATATCCCCCGTCAAAACTTCGCAGGATTGTCAAGAATGTTGGAAAACCACACAAAGGCTGTGATTGCAGACAAGCTGAAGGTCAATTCTAGTGGAGTTGTGAATGTGGTAATCTGGGGAAATGTTAGCGGCGAATATTACATTGATCTTGAAACCAGTCGCGTCCATGGATACGAGGGAGCCATCTGGGGACCGCCATCTTTCTCCTTACCAACCAAGGAGATGATCTGGGACAAGCAATGGCTTGCCAAGGAGTTCCCCGAACTTGTCAAGGCAAGGAAAGCCATGGTGGAGGAGGCTCTGAACCATGGAGCCTACATGTCTAAGGGAGCAGCCATAGCTACAATGCTGGGCCACTGGTGGACTGGATCTCCCAGTGGAGAGATCTTTTCTCTTGCAGTTTGTTCAGAGGGTAAGGGATGAAAGTTAGGATCCTCTAGTCTTTGGATCAATAATGTCTGTCACTAAAAGTTATTTTCTGTTAAAAAGTTCCAAAATTACCTCAAAAATGTCAGTCTGAATTAAAGTATGTATTATCCAAATGCTATCCAAAATACCATGTGCTATAGTTATTGAAAGTTTTACAGCACCCATAATTTAATTACTGGTGCAATTTTTTCCCAAAGTTACTAATTAATCATGTAATATTGTGCGAAATCCTCCACTGTATTTCAAATGCAAAACAAATGAGCTGTGCGTCTGATCTTGGACAAGTTTGCTTTGTCGAGTGACGGTACAAGCCTGCATGTGCATATGATGTGGTTGGTAGAGTAGATGTAATCAACATACGTTTGTATGTAATGGTGGAATACGTAACTCAGGATAGAAAAACATTCGAAAAATAATCAACCGATGCTTAATCAGCTTTCATTAATGATTTCTTTCCAAACCTTTTCAGATATGGAGTTATGGTTTTCATTTGAATAAACACACAAATGTTCATGACATTCTGACGATAAATTTGCATTTTTGAATAATTTACATTTTTTTTCTTCCTAATTAATGCAGTAGGGTGATTTAAATATGTACGTATTTCAAGCTTCATGGTCAATTGAATTTAGTTGTTTTTTTTCTGTTCTGAATAATTTTGTAGTAATTTATGATGCAGAAGTAAGCATGTACATGGAATTTGTTATATTCTTCATCATGTGGATTTTAAGCTAATATTTTAAAAAAAAATCCTTTACAACATTGACATTTTTATTGAAACTAATGTTGTTTGTTTAATTGTTGTTTACCAGGTTGGTATGGCGTCCCAGATGGACTTGTTTACTCCTTCCCGGTAACCATGCACCCCAAGGGTTACTGGTATGTTGTCGAGGACATTGACCTCACAGAGGAGGTCAAGGAGACACTCAAGGTCACAGTACAGGTGAGATATATATATAGATAGCAAAACTTCCCAATAATCCAAACACCTTGGCTCTAAATGCCTGCAAAATAACTGAATTTCAGGATTAAAACCATGTTTTTTAATTTAATGGTTCAAATAATTCATTTGCTATAATGATAGGTTATGTAATAATGATAATAGTTTTTGGAAACACAATGCTGTCCAATAGAGTTGAGTGTTCAAACTTTCTGCTGCAACAATCCAGTTGCATTTGAGTGGACATATTGAGTGAAAAATAACCTTGGACATCCAACCAATGATCTTTGAAACTAATATTTCAAATATATAATGAATTTGTAAAAGAGAGAAAAAAAAGAAAAAAAAATCCCAAAGCAACACAGTTCATAGAAAGTGTGTTTAAATGATTGTCCTAGTGAAGAATAATTCAAGATTTTTTTTGATTTTTTTTTAAATATCAGTGAACACTATGTGAAAGAGTGATGGACAGACAAATGGTCAAAGATATAGAAAAATTTAAGAAATATTTGTGTATACCAGTTACTCCACTGGAAACAGCAGTAATGATGTGATTCCGAAAATATGAAATAATTAACAGCATTATATTTCTGCGCCATATTGAAATTTTAATCAATCCTTTGTTAATTTTCTCTTAGGATTTAATATCTGAGAAGGAAATTATGTACCCTCCACCAAAACCCCCGACCCCTCCCCAAGGTGAGGTCAAGGTCACCATTATGGAACCCAAGGAGGTAGCTGCAGCCTCTGAAAAAGAGGAAGAAAAGAAAGAAGAATCTGGAGAGGAAGGTAGGATCATCGTTGAGATATCATATGATGCATTTTATGTTCCTGAATAATAGTATAATTATACTTTTGATAAATATGGTGATCCAACACTCCCTTTGTTGAATATAGCATTCTTGGGCGGATCCGTGGCCAATTTCATTATAGCTTCTCACTAATGAAACTTAATGGAAAAATAAAGGATATTTAACACCACAAGAATAGTGTGTGATGTTTACGTCTCGTCTACACGTTTCGGCCTGCTATAAGGCCATCATTCTTATGATGTATGGTATCCTTTATCTTTTATTATACTTTGAACTTGATACAAATGATTTGTGTATACTGATATTGTTGAACTGTGCATTACTAAAATGATATATCCCAATTTCTCAATGTTCTTCATGTTCAGGTAGCACACCGGGGACAGCTGATTCGGCTGTAGAGGTAGACTCGTCCAATGAGCCGAAGCTGGAGACCATCGTGGAGGAGAAGGGCGCCAATGACAACGTTAATGGTAACGCCACAGTGGCAGACAGAAGTGCCAATGAAGAGAAGGTAGACGACTCCGCACAGGAAGCTGAACAAACGACACCTGCTGAAAACGCTGAATGATAACGACCCAAATAAACTCATTTTTAAATCAAGATGAATAATGTAAAATATAAAATCCCCAGGCTGGGAAGACATTTTTGACCACACTTGGACATTGTTTTATAGACATAAAGAACTTATTAAGCCCCTCAGTGACATGCCTTTTGTGTTATCACTTGACAAGCTTGTCTGTTAGGTTGTTGTCATGGTGCGAAGCTGTGTTGTCGTCTCATTATAGAGGTATCTTCTGGTTCTTCTCACAGTTTATCAAATTCCGTCATGTCAGGTGTGTTTCGCGTTATCAAGAAATCACCCTGATTTTTCCAGATACTTGAAGTTGAACCACAATATCTGTCTTAAATTGATTGGTCATTGATTTTGATATAAAGATATTTCTTCATTTTAAGACTTGCTTGGGCTTGCAATATAAATGTACTTCAGTCAAATAAAAAAAAGTTTTTGCAAAAAAGAAAAAAAAAAAGAAAATATGACTTCATATATATATATAGTTGTTGGTGTAAATGTAAAGGAATTGAAAATCTATACAAAAGAAGATTAAAGAAATGATCAAATATTTATTTTTCGAAATTGAGAAAAATGTCTGTGACTGATAAAAGTGTGCCTCTATTGAGCAGATCTTTGTGTACCATATTTGTGTGTTCATCGATAACTTGTATGACACATGTACAGCTGTAGGATTATCTATCATTGTCGCATTTGTATATATATATATATCATCAAGCACTTTTTATTAAAATTCTAAATAATAATATTAAAATTCAAATCTTGTTTATTTTTTAATTTCCTAGAAAGAGCAAGAGACAATTACACGACAGTAGTAATATATGTTATTCTACCTGTCTGAGATGTCCACTCTGACGGATGAAGGTACAGGCAAACGTATGCCAGTGTCTGCATTTCCCCCTTAAAATAACGATATGTATTAACATTCTATTCATGAATGGAACTTTTTTGAGCAATTTTTTGCAAAAAAATCCCCAGTTTATCGGAATGCTTATATTTTCATAAAATCATCTCTACATAGTGACATAACCGTTATGTGAAACTTTAATTGAATTCTGCTGGTTAATTGCGAAAGGGTGGAGCCTCCTTAACAGGGGCATAGGATAATTGATAAACAAAGAAATGTTGAATGGGATAAGATCACCATGCAAACTAGTATGATAATGATTTCTTTACTGCAAAGTAATATTTATAGATTTTAAACTTTTATTTTAGCATTTCGTCATTTAATAATCTTGTTCAGTCTTATGTAAAGGTTTTTAATAATGTTTGATGTTTAACATTTGGGAGTCAAAGTCCCGATATTTTGAATTTTTACCGATGGTCCTACAAAGTTTGAAACATTGACGTTTTACTGTACTTAAAAATAATCCAACCATCACTAGGTTAATTTTTGATTAAGTTACCTGGTATTGTGTGGAAATTATTAACCAATCAGAGCACAGTATGCTGATGATTAACATTATGTGCAGATTTTGTTCAAATTCAAAATGAGGCTCAGTCATTGTATAACGTACATGCTTTAGAAATCAAATGATATTTATGCAAATTATCTTGTGGAAACCAAAGTATGGATTGATGAAAACATCTAAATGCTCCTAACACCAAAATATGCCCTGTCATAATAAATTTGATGCGGAATAGATTAAAGACACAAGTTAAATTGTTTTAATTACTTTTATTTCCAAACTATAATATATATATTTTGAACATCAAAACACAACACATTAAGATATATACATATTAACATATATACATATATTTACACTCTTAACTGCTTAAATGTAGTTGCTCATACATACAGTATTAGTAAGTTTTTAAAGCTACTATGCAAAAATATTCCATTGGCTGTGGTAATAGTGAACAATCTGAAGGGGATTGCCTTATGTGCTGAAAGTTCTTAAATAATTTAAAATTATCCTTCAATTCAAAACCAGATGTGAAACTTGCGATTTGCGAGAATCGCTATCCTCTTTCATAATGATGGACATGGTCGTAATTTTGACGTCTCAATGAAAACAATTCAATGATGTCACTAATAGTTGACGTAACTGCTGAACACGCTAGGTATAAACTCGACTGGACGCTGTGAAAACATTTCCATTGAAAAAGACACAAAAAGAAATTAAAAAATCTCCTTTAAGATTACGGTGATAGTTTGTATCAAATGATCAATGTTTTAAATCTTGACATATGAAAAAGGTATTTAATTGACAACAGAAATATGAAAACAATGAAAAGAAGCATAATGAATTTAACTATACTTTTTCTTCAATCGTAACGTTGCAAAAAATTTTGAATACTTAATTCTGAATTTTTACAAAAATATTCAATAACTATGAAGTATATATATGATTAAACAGTATGGTTAACATTATGACATTATAACCTTGTTATAATGCCCCTCACTTCATTGCCACCTCACTTACTGCAGTGCATTTCAAGGTCCCTATTTTAAAGGGCCAAGTGAGCTTATGCTGTGGTGCAGCATCCGATGTCCGTCTATCCAGCGTAATTTCTCTTAGCAATACCTTAATATATGTCTCCTTCAATATATTGCCAAGCCTCTTTTTAATGCCAACGTTACATTGGACAAATGTTGGCAGTATAACAAGATGTTATTGTACATAGACTGTGTTCACAAAGCTTTGATTATGATTATGATTATAACAAACAGAATACGAAAAAAACAATTTGTAACTCAAATATTACAAAAATCATACTTCAAATTAGGCAAGATAGATATTATGATTACAATTTTTATTATAATATAAAATATTTTATGATAAAAGTTTGTAAAATCACAGATATTATCATGATTAAACCTTATGTCTTGTAAACTGAATATAAAACTGGCACCAAGAATAGCAGTAGTCGGTCCCAGGAAAAAACAAACAAAATAAATATGAGATATTTTAAGTTAAATATGTGAATTATTGTTCTTGCTTCATTTTCTTTATAGAACGTCTCATTTTGCTGTATCATATCCATAATTCAGTTCATCTTTTACCAATGGCCTGCAGCAAGCTGGTCAAAAAGCAACAAAGTGTTATAGTTCTAATACAGCAAAATGTGAGGTCTTAAAGGATTGTGAAGCAGTAAACTTGATAATATTTTAAATGACTCCCATGATTTTAATGACATGCAGAAAAAGTTTGTAAGCTCATTGCAACAATCTTAGGCCCAATACTCTAGATTTTAATAGCAGACACTTAAAATTAAGCTTGGCCCACTTGTTCAAAAGGTGGTTTTGACCAAAGTTTCGCATAAAACTCATAATTTTCCATACAATTTTACTGTACTGAAATAAATGATTTGATTGGTTTTATGAAACACAAAAGATGAAATTTGCATTCATCACTTAATTGCTAAACTATAATCAACTTTTGAACAACTAAAGACTGAAATTAGGAAGGGTACATATGTTGTGATGTAGTTTCATGGTGTGCAATTTTAGATTACCATACAGTTTTCAGTAGCTCTACTGAAAAATCTTCCAATCGTAACACAGATGTAAGAAAGATGAGCACAGAAGACCTGAGGTTAAAACTCCCCAGAAAACCTGCTTGATGAATTAGAGTTATCTCCCCTTATTTAATTTCATCTCCTAGTAATATAACAAATTCACCTTTATTAGTATTTTTTAAATTCGTACCTTCCAAATGTGTGTTCAATTCAATAACTGATTAATTTTTCATGTTATTCCCCCCTCACATTAAATGTTCTTCAGAGGGAGGTTTGTAAAAAATATGTTTGGTCTAATTTTAAGTTTGGGTGCCATGGCATGTATGTCAGACATCAGGGTCAAGGTCATTGAAATGGATCAAGGTCACAATGAAGTGGCATATAAACTTTTGTCAAAACTTTAAATTGTTTAAATTTTCCAATTGAAATAATCACTTTTATTTCATAACTGATGATGTAATTTAAAAAAAATGTCAGCTTTAATTTGAAAAATAAAAACTTAGGGGTACAATATATATATAAAAAAAAATAGGATTAAAAGTTACAGTTGAATAGAAAATGCTTTATTTTCAACATTCAAATTTGAAAATTTCTTAATCAAAGTTTAAAGCAACACCGAGTAGTTATTAACATACAGACTAATACCTACATGTTTCTCCACATCACGGGAGAATTCGCTTTCTGGCCTGGTATTTGATATTCCTCACTCGATGCGACAAACCCTTTGAAAACATACTCTGAAAAATAGAAAAACACATTGGATTGAAAATACTTTTGAAAAATATACAGATTTGTACTATATAGTACGGCATAACCATTACCAATCAGGAACTGTCGGCACTTTCTGTAAAGAGAATTTTTTTTTACGGAATGTGCCAACGGTTCCTGTTTGTACCCTTACCTGAATAGGAGTTAATGTTGTGGTACAAATAGTATACTTAACCGTAAAAACCCGTGTAATTTGTGCACCTATGTAATTTGCGCAGGTACATTTTTGAGGCTGAAAAAAAACAACGTGCCAAGATGTCGAAACGTAAGTTGATCGGCAATTCTCTGGCATAGGAATTGGCTAAACTTTCTTTGTTAACAGTTACCTATTTAATAATCCTTTTCACTTCAACTCAGGTAACAACACAGTATGTATCAATTGTATCTTTTATTGATGTTTGACATAAATAAATGTGTTGATCGTCGTTTGTCGTTGAGTTCAGTGTACCAAGAGAGATTATCTCGTGTCCAAGATGACTGTCTGCCAGAATCGTCGATCTTTTCAAGAAAAAACCTTGAAATTGCTTACATTTATGTATTATGCGCACCCCCCACTTTGGGCATTAAATTTCTTAAAAAAAAGTGGGCAGATGACACAGGTTTTTACGGTAGTCATATAAATTCAGCCTCACACTTCGTTGTCTCAAACAGGATCCTCATAATTTGTGACAGCTGTCAATAATTCTTAAATATCTACACAAACTTGACCAACAGCCTGTATTACAGAGTTTTGACACAACTTATGTTATTAACCCATTTCACCCCTATGTTACTTAAGTAGACTCTACCATGCATTGATATGGATGAGTCCATTATGGTCTACAGTGGTGAAAAGGTTAAGTACAGGATTATCAGCTTCAGTATGCCAAAAGTTCATAATAGAATACTTTACCTAGAGTTTATGACACAGAGATCTAACCTGACGGGAAAGATTCTTGAATGTCTAAAACTGTTGCTTCCTGAGGGTTTGACTTCAAGAATGTTACCCCAACGGTTGCGATTTCTTCACAATATCCTCAAGGAAATAGAAGTGATTTTTTTCTTCCACCCTTAAAAAATTGTTTTGATGAAAAACGTGTTTTTTCTATGCCAACAACCCGGCTATGAATTACAATGTCATCAGGTTATAAAACAAATGGATTAGGTGATATCACAAATGTGTACACATATGATATAGAAACCATGGCTTAGATAAATGGGAGACAAATCGCCGTAGGGTGGGAGAAATACATATCACAAATCTATGCCGGATTCAAACAAATCAAGCTGTACGAGGTATGTATTGTACATGTAGATCTGAACATTATATACAGGATCTTACATGAGTTTCCATTACATATGAGATTTATGAAAAGAGTCTAAGAATTTTTCAATTTAGCAAGCCTCTGCCGCATTTATTCGTGTAAAACGACAATTTTATATGCAACTTTGAAATGTAAAAAGCCGCCATTTTGTCTCCAGTGCGCAAGCCTATGACGTCATGTACTTGTCCTAGGCGTGACGTCACAATTGAAACAATTGAAACTTACAACCAATCACAGGATTGATAGGTCATATTACATGGGTTATTACGCAAAAAAAATATGACATGTGTATATACACTGGATAACACAGTACATTATGTGATACTTTGTTTTCCATCAATATAGATAAATTCTGTAGCATTGCTGAGAGAGAGAGAGAAAGAGAGAGAAAGAGAGACCAATGAATCATTATGAATCGAGTTGAACAAAAATTAAACTATCAAATTTAGCAATCAAACATACAGAGTCACTATAAATAATCACTAATAAATTAAAAAATCATAATTATCTTGATAACCGTTCATCAAAAGTCCTTCATGAGTTGATGAATAATATCAATTAATGAATTAATGGATATTAAGGCAGTCAAAGTAATCAATGAGTATTCCTTCACAAATAATTGTTCATTAATCAATCAATCATTATTAACCATCCATTAATTGTTTTTAACCTGATTAGCTTAAGGGCAGTGCATAATTCAAAATCAAAACTACCTGTTTATCAATCTGAAAACACCATTGGACAACAAAGAGTTCAAAAATAATTTTCAGACATTTCTAAGAAATTGCATTTTGAAAATTTGCTTACGTAATTAAGTGAACTAACTCGGCTTTCATAAACACAACTGGGTTTAGATAAATAACGATTATCAACTATCAAAATTAGATTATGAGTGTCGTGTTATTACTTAAAGGTTACAAACATATCACTTTATGTCCTGTATATCAATCACTGTACAGGTATATCCTAACTACCTATGTCTAGACCACAGTTTCGTCCAAACTCGTAAGACTTTCAAAATTTGCGGAATTTTTCACAGCAAAATGCAGTGCACCCTGCAACATCTTTTAACGAAGATGAGGAATTCCAGCTTGGGATTTGTCAAGGTCTGTCACATGATGCTACGTTCCAATAAAATCTAATTTTGTTGGGTCGAATTCTGCAGCCGAAGAGTTCCAGGATGAACTGACAGACCGCGACTTTGCTTTCTGGTAGTATTTTATATTGGTCACACTGCGAGCCAAACCTCTGGAAAAGGCAACCTGAAAACAAAACAAAACACATGCATTCTAAATAAAAACAAATTTTTGCTTTTCTATTTTTTATTTTTTTTTCACATTTTCTGAAAAATAAGAATAGTTGTTTTGAGTAACTTTTAAGCAATTGATATTGTCAAAGTATCATGACAATAAAATAAAAACAAATTTTCCTCAAAGATTTGATGTTCCCATGGGGTCTGACCCTTGCCCAACTAAAATCAGCATCACAGATGTAGGGAGTTCAGCAAACAGGAATCTCCTTCACTTTACTCACTATAGATACTAAAAACACAAATCTGATCTTGCCTCGGGGTAAATCGCTATAGCCTAATAACTGACTGAACAACTAATATCAGCCTATTTTAACCCTTTCACCCCTACGTAACTTTAGTAGACTATTCCATGCATTGATCTGGATGAGTCCATTTTGGTCTACAGTGGTGAAAGGGTTAAGGCATCATCAAAATAAACTTCTTAATCATCATTATTTCAACTTCATTTATTTTTAAAAATCCTCTTTAAAATATCACATTCCTCAGATTAATAATAATAATAATAATTTGAGGTTCTTATATACCGCTTTATCACAACCTAGTTTGTAGGTGGTCTCATAGCGGTTCTCAAATTATTATTCGTGGTTATAGGGCCTTTGCGACCAGCCAATATCTTTCTCAATTCCCTGGGGAGCATACACTCAGAGCTGCCATTTCGGTGCTCACAGCTAGCATTGACAATTCTTACACTGCCCAACCATGTACTCATTTACAGCTGAGTAGACTGGAACAAGCGGAGTAAGTTTCTTGCTCAAAGATACAACACAGAGCCGTGCCGTGACTCGAACCCCCAACCCTTCCTTTGGTCATGAGCCCGGCGTCCTACCACTAGACTACCGTTCCTCCACGATTGATAAATTATTGTCCTCAAAACAACCACCTTAGCTTTCCTCACTCCCGACTCATCAGATAAACCTGCTAGGAGTTGGTAAATACATTTTTGGTTACCCACTGGTTACCCACTAGTGGGTAACAACAACCTGGATGTTATTTTAATGGTTAATCTTCTGATCATGACGTCAAGTAACGATTCTTTGCGACGTCATCTTCTATGTGACGTCATATAGTAGGTTCGTGGCAAATGGTTTCCCTGACCCCGATCGGAAACAGGAATAGTGTGTTCCCAAGAGAAGCATATGGTTTTCTAGATATAACATCTAAATGTTGTGGAAGTAAAAGGTCCCCCCCGTCTCTTGATGGATTATTTTTGTGTTTATCATACTCTCGTTGGTTAATTTTTTAAATTGTAAAAGACATTCTGTAAACGTCGTTTCGTTATACAAGTTCAAAGTTAACTTAATCGAGTTAGATAAACATGATAACCAACTAATCGTTGGGGAACTTCTACATATCAGTCTTTTTTTGGTGGTTAACCCTTTCACCCCTATGTAACTTTAGTGGACACTACCATGCATTAATCTGGAAGAGTCCATTATGGTCTACAGTGGTGAAAGGGTTAAGTTATGTCTTATATGCATCCACCTGATAAGGCTGAACGGCTTTACCTCATACCAGAAACTTTCGTCCTGCGCTGGTAAAATCCATATTCCCTCAGCGTTAATTTCGCCCTTCACATGTCAAGATATACGTATTTTAAGTATTATATTTGCTGTCAGGATAAATTTGCCCTCATGATGAAATACATGATGAAATACATGATGAAATACAACAAAGGCAAAAGTAAAAAGTAACAAAAAAATCCCAGTACGCAGAACAATGAATTCAAAATGACAAAAAAAATAAAAGTTTTTACATAGATGTATATGCCTCTAATTTTTGCTAGAGTAACCTCCCATTTACACGTTTTTTTTGTCACAGAAGAGTAAGGGAATGTTTCTCTTAATTTTTTTCTTCAATTTTGGACATTTTTGTGTTTGTGGTAAATACCAATTTTCAAAGACTGTTAGATTAAAGTTTTGGTATCTTACATATGTCACATTACTTAACTAGAATTATTTATGGGTTTACCTTGTTGTTAAAAAACATTAATGCTTGGGGGAAAAAAAGAACATTGCTAGTATTTCAAGATCATGTAGTCTATCTGCATTACTGAAGTTTGATCGAGATGGATGTTTTTTGTTATCTTTCATCAATTAATTATAGCATTCCCAAATTATCTTCCATGCAGGTTTTCAATGTCGAACTCTTTTGGAAAGAAGTTACTAAATTGTCCCGTTAAAGCAGTATGTTTGTAAGAATCGCTATCACAGTTCTGATTGACAGAGTTCATTGCTTTCAGGAAAAAGAACACATGAAGGCAATAATGGACAAGATGTACACCTGCTATTCTCCAAATGTTGGTCCTTGCAATTTTTAATTGGTTTTAATTAGTTTTAATGGGATTTAAAATTGA